CGACAGAAAAGCCGATCAGCTGATCATTGATCAGTTTCACGATTGAAGTAGCAACAGGAGAGGGAGGGAGAGAGAAGAGGCACTCGCTCCATATATCGGTTGTTAACCCTAATATGGAAATGCTTTACAAACATTCAGAGATGAACTTTTACACTTGCTTTACTTCTCTCTTCCATCACGTGAGCACACTGCTCCAACGTGCTACGGTTATGAGCCGAGTTACGCTGTGTCGTAAGTTTTGTGAGGTGCTTTTTTGATATTTAATGGATCGGATTACATTTTTTATTTCTCTCCGATATCCGATCCAGTAATTTACGTCAGTATCAGACCGATACCGATACGTAATATCGGAACGGTCCATCTCTAGTATGGATCAGAGTCAAAACAAATAGTCTATTTCAGGATTTTTGCATTATTTTTGAGTATCCATTTCATTTCATTCAATGGAATTTACTAATGCTTTTATTCCAGATACTAAATTCTTCAGCACAGTTGTATCATTTCTGCAAACTTTCCTCACAGAGACAAACACACCTTGGCACGCAGGTACAGGAGAATCCCACGCATGGTAGCCAAGTGATGTGCGGCGGCAGGTTGCTGTGGCATTGCCTATGAGACGGTATCCACGGTCGCAAGCCCACCTCACCACGCTGTTAACGTGACCGCCGCTCTGTGAGGAGATGGAGCCGTGGAGCGGGGAGTCTGGGGTGGAGCAGTACAGAGCTGCAGTGGAAAAAAGCACATTTGAAAAACAAGGATTTGAAATTGCTACAGACCGGGAGGGCTACTGTCATCAACAAAGAAACTTGCACAATAAACACAAAAGAGGTAAAGCTCATTTCAGTAGATAGTGCTGCACTATATCTGCATGCAGGTATGCACCATTATAAAGGTTAGCAGTAATAATAGATTCACTAGCAGAGATTCTCACATGTCTGCTATTATGAAATTACAAAGGTTGAGATAAATTCCTGAAACTTGTATTAATGTGAGTCACTACTTATTTATAATACAACAGGATGTCGAGCAAAAGAAGACTAATGGACTTTGATTTTTCCAAAATGATCATGTACAAGACGTGCTTTGTGATTTGAAGAGCTCGATGCTTTTCCTCAATGAGCCATGAATTAGAGAAAGGAGTCTAATTAAAGATATTGATGGTCATGTTCCTAACAGGTCTCATACCTTTCCAGGCGATCTTAAAAGAAAGTTTTTCACCCAATTAGGAGCCATGTGACAACTATATGAATGTCAATTATAATTACACATAGTCGCTCTTGGCAGAGCCCTCTCACTGAACAACCAGCGAGTGGAGTTACAACGGACATGAGACATTACTGGACACACCGCCCGCAAAGTCATTGATTGCTATAGGTAGTTTTATTAAATATTCTTAATAAAGGGAAACATTAATCCTCTACGACAGACAATAATGGCATCTGGAGGGACTCGTGCTGCAACTGCCAAAAACCTGTCAATTTTAAGTGGACCTATTAGGCTCATTTCCACCTCCACTTTCAGTAAGTATCTTTATATGATTCACACATCTTTTTATGTGTCTGTAATTCTCCAAACTGGGCAAGAACCCCACAACAACATCTTAACTTGTCTTATGTATTAGTGATAAGCCTGTTTTGTCCCTCTAGTATGCTACTGCCCCAGTATCTGTGTGGTTGGGTTTTGAACCAAAATAGTCTGAGACCACTTAAGAGTTGTGAGGGTTTTTTGTTCACCCCTTTTTTCTTGGGGTAGAATCAGTGCCAGGGAAGTTTTGTACAGTTTTGTACAGTGTTTTGTACATTTCTAAGTAAGCATGTCTGACACAATTTATTTCTAAAAGCACTGAAAGTTTAATCAGCATATAGCAAAGCAGCCAGTTGACAATATCTCATCAGATGGTTCTTCCCCTGTACTAGTTTTAAGATTGATGGCATTAAACTGCTGATTTTAATCTCACATGGATGTGTTTCATAATGACAATAATATGTTGAGAAATTTTTACTTTACTACCTGACAAGAGGACTAAATTTTCTCATTGTAATTAAAATTTCATCACATTATGTTTTCTCAAAGGAGGAAGTACACTCACCGTCATGCACTGGCTTGATTTTCCAAGTTAAAAACATAGCCGAAGTTGAACCCCGGTATTAGTAGGCTTACAGCATATGTTTAACATTTCTTGCAGATGCTCACATTAATCACCGCCACCAAAGAAGGTTACCGAGTGTGAGCGCGTTTAGCTTTTTTTTCCTGTTATTTTTCTGCGCATAATTCATCATACAGTGCAGTGGTGTTTCAAAGGTTAAAGAAACAACCTCCTGGCTAGAGTATATGGAGTGAATAAGCAAACTAAACTGGTAAAATTGTCTCCTCCCCTTTACTGTCAAAAATGTCCTTGAATAAGGCACTCAAGCCTCATTACCCAACAGTCTAAAGCTACTCAGCAGGCCCAGGTGCAAGATTGCCTAAATGCAAAGCTTGCTGTAAAACAGCATCTGTGCTCATCAAGATGTCTTCACACAGATAAAACTTAAGAACTAACCTATAACGCATTTCAGTAAAGTGCTTTAGGAGGCAGACAGAAGTTTGCTAGAAACATATGTTAAAGATAGAGAAATAAGGTACAGCGAGATATTGTGATATTTTTTTTCACGGACTTTCTTCCCATAAGCTCTCAAACTTTCACATCTTTAAATATTTATTGTGCAAATTAAATGGTACAAACAGCTCCTTCTGTCTGCCTCTGTCTGCTGTTGTCCTTATTTTCATGCATTATATTAAAAGTAGTAGTAAAATAAAGTTGGGATACATACTTTGGTACTCACCAACATAGCGAATTTTGAAGCCTTTCTTGTTTGTGCCATGGTCTGAAGACCAGCGGACTAGGAACTGGTGTCCAGAGGTTGTGAGGTTAAAGGGTGTTGGCAGGTCACCACTAAGTGTCGCCAAGGTGGGGCTGTTGGATGTGGGACCTGACAGGGATTAAGATAAAGTGAAAGAGATGGAATAATGGAGAGAGAGACAGGGAAAGAAAGACAGTAATAATAGAAGGAATGAGACATGAGAATACAGTGACATTTGGTATAATACAGTGGTGTGTATTCTTTCAAAAATGTGTCTATGAGTGTGATGTGTGGCTCTCTGATGTTGAAATCTGCGTTCCTTTTTGTGTTTTTTACCATCAAAAATCTCCAACACGTCAAACTCTCTCTCGGTGTGAAAACTTTCAAAGGTTATTGTGACATTGTATCCTTTCTCCACTGTAACACTCCACGAACACATTTGGAGGTTAGGGTAGCTTTCTGGCCAGCCAGGGCTTAAGATGACACCTGAGGAGTCGTATCGCACATCATGTGCAGGGCACTGAACTGTAAGTAAAAAATAAATAGCAAAGCCAATTGTTATATTGAATGACTATACAGCTTGATGGGTTTTTTTGACGGTGTCAAGCTGAAAATAGTAACTTAAACTGGTTTTGTACTGGCATCCACTGACCTTGGCATGTTGGGGGTGGTGAATCCATCTGCAGCCTCTCTCCTAAGCGACAGGTAAGAATCTCACTGCCAACCAATGAAAATCCAGGATGGCATCTGTACCTGATGATGTCGCCTGGAGACACAAAATCAGTGTGTCTATAGAAAACAGAGCTGGTGCTAGCATAGCTTAGAGTGGCAAACTCTAAGTACATTTGAGTGCTTGATTTCAACACATTTCCAAGAAAGTCTTTACATTACAGCCTATGTACTCTAATGACTTTAGAATTAAACGTTTCAATAGAAAGCATCTTATCAACTTGTTGAGATGATGAATTGTTATAAATTGCTACAAATTTAACTCATACAAACTTCAGCTTGATGACTGGCAATAAAAACATGAAATATTATCACATGCCAGGAGCAATTTTTACTCGAGCCACATCTTCAGTACAGGACTTTTATTTGACTTTAATATGTTATTACTGAATGTGACCTTGTTTTGTCTTCAGAACCTTCTTAACTCTTCGTGGTATAGACTCAACAAGGTGCTGGAAACATCCCCCCGAAGAGTTTGCTCCACACTGACATGATAGCATCAAACTGTTGCTGCAGATTTGTCAGTTGGGCCTCCATTGTTGTTCCAGCACATTCCAAATGGGCTCTACGGGATAGAGTTCTGATGACTGTGGAGGCCATTTGAGTACAGTGAACCCATTGTCATATTCAAGAAACCCGTTTGAGATGATCTGAGATTTGTGATCCAAGAAACCATCACCAACAGCATTACAACACCAGCACCAGCTTAAATCACTGAATGAAGGCAGGGTGGATCCATGTTTTTATTTTGTTTATGTCAAATTTTTTACCCTATTCTGAATATTGCAGCAAAAACATCAGATCAGATGACATTTTTCCAATCTACTATTGTACAATTTGAGTGAGCTTGTGTGAACTGTAGCCTCAGTTTGCTGTCCCTAGCTGTCAAAAGTGGCACCTGGTATCATCTTTTACTGTTGTATCCCATCTGCTTCAAGGTTTAATGTGTTGTGTGACATGCTCTTGTGGATACCTTGGTAGTAAAGAGCAGTTATTTGAGTTACTGTTGTTTTCTTATCAATTTGAAGCAGTCTGGCCATCCTTCTTCACTGACCTCTGGCATCATCAAAGCCTTGTCACGAAGCAAACCGCTCCTCACTGGATATTTTCTCTAGACCCTACATATGATTGTATTGGAAAATCTGCCATCCTGATGCTTAGTTTAAAGTCCAGCAGCTTGTCCTAATGCCTCAATACCTAAATGCATTCAGTTATTGCCAGTTATGTGACTGGCAAATTAGATATTTGTCTTAATGCACAACTGAACAGGTGTACCTAATGAAGAGGCCAGTGAGTGTATATGATTGGATTGGTGCGTGTCTTAAACCAATAAAAAATGAATTACAGAATATATATACACAATATAACACCAATCATCCTTGATTTAAGTCTTCATTCGTGTTATCGTGTGCTTTTTATCCATCAAAGTGACACATCTGTGAGCAATGGCAGGCAGACAGACAGCTCACCTATCTCAAGCTCGCCATCCTCCATCAGCATGTCAGCACTGGGAACTTCTGGAGGAGGCTGGCAAACCCTTAATTGGTAGGCTGGGAGATACAGAAACGGAGAGGAGACAGAAAAAGGAACAATGTATAAAAAATGTGTTCAAGGATCCCGTGTTAAAATTTAAATGTAATTTTTTTCCAAGTGCAATGAAAGGACAGAATAGTGTGACATTCAATCTTGGTCGCATCGGTTTAACTGAACTTTTTAAGTTCAAATGGTGGGCAAAGTATGGAATCAAGAACAGATCAGCTACACAGACACAGCACTGTCTTGAATCATAAAGAGGAACTAACTTCACAGCCACTGAGCTGAAGGCTGTAATCAATATTACTGCATGACTGTAGATCACTTGCTAACAGAGAGAGAGAGAAAGAGTGAAAAGAGAGAGCGAGTTAGAGAATAGAGGCAGACACAGACAGGAAAAAGGGAGGACAAGAAGCGAGCGAAGGAGAGAGGGCTAAGGGCTGTAAGTCAAGATGAAATTGACTATGAAAATGAGACCTGCCAATAGCTTCTGATGCTCTAATGCATATCAAAGCCCTGTGGTCTATGAGTGCGCGCCAGGATGTGTGTAAATGTTTGAGCAAGTGCATGTCTATGTTTGTGTGTGCAGCAAGCTCTGTGCTTCTACGCGCGATGAAAGGATCACTGTTAGCAGTCATCGATTTCGCTTAGCTCTGAGACCATTTTTATAGCTACTTCCACATGCGTGTCACATACACTGGCTCTCTCAGCCTCGTGTTCATGATGCTATTCACCCGTGCGTGGCCCTCGTCTGTGTATGGAAGCTCCACACCTTTGAATTCAACCACTCCACTGAGTTGACTGATGAAAATGAAGAATAACAAGTATGTAATCCCGCCAACGATGGGAGCGCTGAAGTAGATGAATATCCTCAAAGGGTGGCTTGATCCTTCTTTTGGCGCTTATTTGGCATTTCAAACTAAATTTTCTCTTTAGTAGCTGTCTCAGATTCAAACTAGGGCATTCTGAATTTCTTTACAGGTCACTGAAGGACACTCAAAAGAAAACTTAAGAACAATACTTTATAGTGACAAGTTTCTGCTTAAGAAAACGTCAGTGCAGCGAATCATGAAAGGTTCCCATTCTTCTGGTAATTATTATGCAACAATTTAAGTTCTGTACGGATGATCAAATAGGCTGCTCTGCTCTCATCTTTCTTTCATTCTCGCTGTCTTTCTTGTTTTCTTCTAATATTGTCTCGAAAAGAGACGCGACCAAATAATGCTAACTACTACTGCCATACATGTCACCCCCTTTCCATTTTATCCATCTTCCCTGTCACTTTTTGCTGTTCATCGTCCAATAAAGCAGAAATTGAAAGTAAACTTGAATCCATCAGATGGTGCTGTTCCTGTGTGAGTGTGACAACTGACAGTTAAAACCTGCCAACAAAAATTCATTAACAATGTGTCATCTGTCTGAAAAAGGGAAGCCTGTTCAACTTGACATATTTTCACTAAAGAGCACTGAACAGAAACTTTTGAGAAGTAGGAAACAGGCTTCGGGGGGGGAAATAAAGAGCCGTGGGTACATCTGTGAGAGAGAATGCGGGAGAACCAATGAGAAACTGTGTTGTGACGGATGAAACGAGTGCAAAAAAGTGACTCATTTGAAGCTTTCAAATTTTTCAGGAACCAAAACTATCCTGACATTAAAAAAAAACAAGCAGCCATCTTTACAGTGTAGTGACGTTCTTGTTATTCTAAAATATTAGGTTTTATTTTGAAAAATAGCATCATCTTCAGCTTGATGACAATTCATTATGACGGCTGTCAAGAGCTCATGAGGTTCTTTAAACATTATTTTGTCATCTTTAAAAAAGCCTGTCATCTTTTAGTTAAAGTGAAACCATTGTGGAATTAACTTTTGTGTCATAATGACACATACCAGAAACATTAGTCAGTAAAAATATAGATTCACCCATTAAATGAAATTTAGATGATAATTAAATGTAATATAAAAAAAAGAGTTTTGCATTTCCCTGCTTCTAAACATTTTGATGATTTCTTATGTACTTTAATGTACAGTATGCTATGTGTAGGAATCTTTAGATGAATGGAGTGGTTTTCACCATAAGCAGTATTTGAAAACAAAAAGAAATACAGAGGCACCGAAGATTAAGGTGAGATGAAAACCTAAATGGCACAGACAGTCCAGGAATGGAGAAAGAGCAGCTAAGGACCAGGACAAATACTCCAAAAGTCTGTGAAGGGAAAATGACTGTTTTTTTTTAAAGGTGTAAGACAGATACAAAACACTTCTTTCTACTAACAGGGTGCAAAAGACAAACACTCAATAGCTGATTTTTTTGAACCAATGCAACACACATTTTTATGAGTAAATTGCAGGTTTGCTGCTTACTTTGTTTTTTTTCTACTGTATGAGATAAAGAGATAAAGCCATCAACGTGCTTTTTAATCTGACAGCGTCTAAGAACACAGGAAACCATCATTTAATTGGAAGTTCAACAAAAACAAGATTAATGAGCTTTTCAGTTGCTAAAAAAGTTCCATCCCTTGCAGTGCTACCTTTAGTAGAACCACAGTAAACAGCATCAAACAAACAAGCCTATTAGGCTACATTAGACCTCTACTAAGCAATCTTATTCCTGTATTAAGATTAGCACTACTTTATTAGACATTTATTAGTTAATGGTGCATTTATTAATATCTGCATCACACACACATATATACTTATATATATATATATATATATACACACACACAACGATGCCTTAAAATCCCATTTCCTTAATTAGTTTTATACAATTATTTAGCAAGCATTCCATTTTTGATATAAAACATGACTTCATTGGTTATTGTGTAGAATTATATAATGTAATATTGATGCCATACATAAACATCACCATCACCGCATACTCAGACATGAGTATATTCACCGTTTGCAAAAACAAAAGTTAATGTTGAAAAATTAAAATAGTATACTTTTATAATGAGCAGCAGGGGTTATTTTGCCAAGCAACATGATGATGTCATAATATCTATAGATACGTAAAGATGTACCTGTGCTCGAATGTTGGTTGTTTCATGGACAAACAAACAAAAATACAGATTGTATTGTCTATTTATGGTAAGATCATTCTAAAAAAAATTATCATAAAGCATTACCAAGTGTTTTTTTTAACACATTTGGAAATGTTACCAACTGGTTTAATAATCTCTTCTTCGAGCAGCCGAGACCTCAAAAGCTTTTCAGTGTCGCCCCAAAGTGAATCACACATCACAAACTTTGTATTAACATTTTTTTGGAGTCATTTTTAAGCATCATTTAAAAATAACTGGGTAGTAACAGTGGGCGGGATAGTGGTATAGTGAAACTCCTCAGTAGTCCGCACTCAAAGATAAAATCGGAAAGACGAAAGCTTGAAAATGACGAGTTTAGTCATTTCAAAGAGAATGTTTCTACAGTGTTGCTATTATCAACTCGGTTCATAACATTAAGAATATTAATTACTAATCACTGTGATAGGATGTGGCAAAGAGAGGAAGATCAATTTCAATGAGTCAGAATGAGTCAAAGGAAGTAGCTCTGACTGTGAAGTTAAAGAGAGTTCAGTTCAACAAAAAACTATTGGAGCTAGAACTAATGATTGCGCTACACTGTTGCCATACCTCAGGACAACAAAGACAACTACAGAGAAAAGCGCTAATGAGAGCATCATCTGTAACTGCGCAGACAATCAAGTAACATGCTTCTACGGCAGGCTGATATTATCATTATCTCTGTGATAATGTGGTCTCTTTCTTACCATGATAACTTAAGACAAAAAAGCCGGCTCCAGAGAAGTCCGAGTGGAATTTGATGAGGATGATGTTGGACGTTGAATAGACGGACTCCAAAGCTGTGTTTCCGCTGAACTGTCCAATCTGAGGAGAAGACTGATCTGGACCATCCCTGTGGTAAAAAGCCCCAGAATGAAACACAAACAAAACATACACAAAACCTGTGTGACCAAGAAGACAGCGAGAGACTAAAGGCCCATAAACGAGTGGACTTGATCTTTCTTTATAGAACAATGGGCTTGAACGTCCACCTAAGATATAATTTGAATAAGTTATTGCAGTCATCGGTGACAGTTAGATGGCTATTTATGTTCAGGAAATGGTTGCTCCAAGGCTAGAAACAAAGACAGAAGAGACTTGACGATTTTTTATGAGACCTGCTCCATTAACTGCAAATGCAGATGGACATTGTGTGACAAAGTGCTGGCTCCAACAGCGACTGTGCATGGCTATGGGCTCATCTTCCTTCTCAAACCAATACAAACCACAATGTCAAAAAGCTCATTTAGATAAGAAATGCTCTGAAATTTAGATTCAAATTCTCTGACAAAGTAACAGCTCTTGATAACACCACAACCCACAAATCTATGGCTCTCTTGTTCTTGCTTGGGGATGAGTTCATAAATATTGACTGAACTGTTGACAGATCATAAGAATAACAAATGTTAGTCCTGGTGTAGACTTGGCTTCACTGTTCACACATGGGCCTGGCATTCGCAAAAAGTCACACAATTACCCGAGAAGGCAGGCAGGAGGTTATCCATCAAATGGCAGGTCATGCTCTCAGTGAACATATTTCACCTTTAATGACAGCACCAGCTGTCAGACTGGAACTAACCAATATCAGACTCATTATCTGTGATTAAAAAGCATAATCATGAAGTTAAATTAAATGATTATTTCCTGCTGTTAAGTGTTTTTGGAAGAGACTAATTATACCTGCCAGGTTATGAACAGAATCATCCCCTTCTCTGATTCGCATTGGGTGGCTCAGAGTCATCAGAGCAGTTGCACTTATTGCCTTCCACTGCTTGATTAAAGCTGATGCACTCGCTCGCTAACATTTATTAGTATGTTAACGCAACACTTTCAGTACAGAATAGGCTTTAAAGATAAGGTTGCACAATATATAGAAACATCTGTGACATATATGGAAACTTTTGCAGTGGATCGCTGTAGCAAGCCTCCCAGTTTGAGACCAATTAGCAGACTAAGCGACTGTCAGGTCGGCTGGCTCTGGGCTGAAGAGACCGCTGTGAAAATCACACCTCTACCACTGACACCGCGCTCTCTACGGGGAGCCAGCATGATTGCGTGACTAAGATCGGGAATTTTTACCGCATTCTTGTGTCGTCTTTGCTTCAGTCCGTCCACTTTTCTGACAGACCAAAGGGTCAGAAACACGCTGTGCGACCAATTCATGGAATTCACACAATCAGCTGTGGGTGGGCGGCACATGCTTCAACTGTGTTGTGGTGTGGGAAAGACAGGCTGGATATCGCACAACTATAGACTAAAACTAGAGCTAAACAAATCACACACCAACTGCTGAAGAAAACAAGCTGCTTTTTTCAGTGGATAGCTGCTAAAGAGGAAGGTCTGCAATGTCATGTTTGTGTAGAAGCCAAACAATACCATAAAGCAATAAGTGTGAAATTACAGATTTGCTTGATATAACTGAGCTATACACCATCCTGTAGCACTCTGAGGAGTGAAGCAATGGATCAAATGAATTAGTAAGCTGCAGCAATTTTGCTAACAAGTTAAACATTACAGTCAAGGAACTGCTGTTTTTCTATTCCTAAATGTCTTATTCCTGCTTTTCTGACATTTTACAGCCAAATCAAATCAACAACTGAGCTTGAAAACTTGATTTATTCCTAGAAAGTTAGGTTAATGAGTTAGATTTGATATTGGAGTGAGAAACAGTTGACAGAGTTGCAATCCTGTGAGGCTTCTTCTCAAGTCTGAGGAAAAACGGAACTGTAAAAGCAGTTTTGACAGCATGGCAAGCGTGGAGCTAATCATATCTATAATTTCATGACTTCTACAGACAATAAAGGCATCTTGGAATATCAGGTGGTGAATGTTGTGAGAAAAATACCTTTTATATTTAAATCTGAGCTAAATTAAAATCTAATTTTCATTATATTTTCTGCTGACCTAAAAAGTTGAGAGTTCTCAGACTTTCTAAAGAGGAGAGAAAGTTTCTTGTTAGAACAATTTTACAGTTTCCGTGTGGCTAAAGAAACAGCCAGACCTGGACATCTGGAAGGTTGGCAGTGCTTACAGAAAGACAGGATAACAACAGAACAAGCCAGACATTCGGTCCTTCTGTGCTGGTCTAAAAATACACGATTTGCAAGGAAATGTATCAGCAGCAAACCACGTCTTGTCCTGCTGTTGTGTTCTTTTTGCTCAGCCCTGCCTCAAATGCCTATGCGGCTACATCGCTCCGTGTTGTCTTTTTATAGGAAACAAGAGTAGGTGAAGGGACTCTGGAGAAAAGGGCAGCATCATGGCACCCGTAGCAATAAACGATGCAACGTATTTATGGTTCTGCTACCACCTTGTACCTGCAGATATCTATGTAGCGTGGTATCTAAGCACCATTTAAGCACCTGCATTGACAAAATGTCTAGTGTTGCCAATGGCTGTTTTCCTCAAGAAGAATAATGAAGAGAGAAGTCAAGGCTGGTTAGCTGGGAAGAGAACGATGTATTGTATATAACATATAAGGCTGGCCGAGCATTAAAGATAGTGTAAGGGACAGGCCAAAGAAGAGAAAGACCTATGGCTAAAAACGAAAATGGGTAAACCGTGACAAGAAGAAAATTATATCAGAGTGACTTTATATGCATGACAAGGTGTCTGCAGTCATAGTAACCTTGCAGGAATTTAGCCAATTAGTGGTTAGCTCTGAAAAGATTTTAAAGAGCGTAGCATCCGGCTAGAGAGAGAGAAAAGAAAGTGTGTGTGAACAGAAAGTTATGTGGTACAAATTAAATAGTTATTCAGTCAAATAAAACATTTCTTACTTAAACTCAGCGAGAAGAAGGGATAGCATTATAATAATAGCACATAATGAGCATGAATACTGTCAGTTAAGAAGTAGAGCAAATATAAAACGTGCTAATTGAAAAAGTAAATAGCACCTACCAGACAGTAATGTAGTCATATATGGGCTCTGTGCTCAGTACAGTAAAGTTGATATAAATCCCGTGTCCAGGAGGAACTCGAACGCTCCACACACAGTCCTGGAAATTTGGGTATTCCTCAGGATGGCCGGGAGAGTAAATGGTTCCGTTTAATGACGTGATGTTACCACCGCAGAGTGCTGCAAGTGAGAATATTAACAGAATTGCCCTTAATAAATTACCCGCAAATTAGAACTGCCATTGTGAAGCTTCAATAATTGTCGGGATCGCTGTGAAAGAAAATGTCTCTATCACTCATGTAATGACCACTGGATAACACCTGAACACCTTTAATAAATTGTCATTACATTTTTATTTCTGTCCCACAGCTCAGCTGACTCTCAGCTGTGCTGATGTTAGAACAATATGGCGTAATATGAAATGTTATCATCTTGAAATTAGAACGATTTCTTTCACGTGTGGAGTAAACAAAACAATAAGAGTAAGATAATTTATAGTGAGAGTGAGATTATTAATCTTTAAAACAGTAATAATATCTGTCTCTATATATATGTATATTGTGTTTATATCATTAAGAGACTATATTGTTATGATAGCACCACATATCCTCCAAAAAAGTAATCTTTGAGAGTGAAAGTTGATGAAAGCACATGTATGTCTAACAAATTAAGGAATTCATTATAAAAAGAATTCATAGAGAAACTTCTTCATACTTCTTTTGGAATTTGTAAACCCGTGCATTATGATTTATTATGTGGTGATACATTATTATTAAGTGCCCTGTAAGCCTGTATGAGAGGACAACAAAAAGATGCAGGAGACTCAATTGAAATCCAGCTAAAATGATCAATCGCCTTTGATCAAAGAAAAAGATGAGTAGGCATAAGAATAATCACGTAATTTACCTTCACATCGTGGTAATGGGTGGTTCCAGTTCCTGCTAATTCCGTGCAAACATGTGAGCGAGGCTTCTCCAATCAGAGAGTATCCGGGCAGACACTCAAACGACACCGTCATCCCAACACTGAAATCTGTGCCAATCACGATGCCATTTCGAAACGGTCGAGGGTCTGGGCAACTCTGGAGCTGGTAGGCTGCAGAGATAATAACATAAATTATTCAAAAAAAAAATCAACGAGGCAGAAACGATTTGTTAATTTAGTCCTGTAATGTGCAACTCATCACTACGAGCCACAGTATGAACTGCAGCTTCAACTGTGAACAGTCAGTTGGTTGAAAAAACTAAAATCAAGCAAAATAAATATATACAGCAAATCGATCCTTTCTAACTCTGCATAATGAATCATCGTTCAGCACAAAAAAAGTGGAACAGGATACAGCCAACCATACAACCGTACGAAGCTCAGAGAATTACTCTCAGTTAGTGTTGCTGGTAAATTGTATACATTTCAGATTACATGTTAATAGTGTAATCTGAGTATCCTAAAGTACCCTGAATGTGTTTAAAAAAGGAAAAAATCTTAATCATCCTATTTAAAAGCTGCTTGTCCAAAAAGTTAGTTAAAAAACACTCATCATCTTTGTGACTTGTTTTGCTGTCAAGTCATTATTAACAGGCATGTCAGTGACAGCCAAGGTAAGCGTCTCATCTGTTATGATTGACAGCTTCGATACCATCAGTCCCGCCTCTCCTTGATTCTGGTTGGTTAATGAGAGAGAGAAGCGACACTGGCGAGAGCACTACTTTTCTCCATGTTAAACTATTTCCACCCAAGAGCGTCAGTGTGAGCATCGCGAGGGAATAAAGCTCAGAGCTGAGGGTGATTTTTGCACGCCGATGAGCTTCATAGGCTGTTTGCGGAGACAAATGCTAAATGATCTTTACTTTGTAATTAAAGGATAAGTTAATTTAAATGAAAAAATGACTACTGTAACTCTGTATTCCTCTGGCTTGCTTAAAAAAATTTGCAATCTTCAGCTAGAATTTAAAATTGTCACACACACAAAAAAAAGAAAGATGCGGCCATCCTGCATCAAAAAAGATAGTTCTCGTTTTTAACACGATGCCAAAATATTCTCAAATCACATCCGCCAGCTTGAAGTTAAAACATAATTGTTGCATAATTGTCCGCAGCCGGTGCTACAATAGCCAGGGCTTGGAAGGAAAACATGTCACTGAGACAGACAAACACTGGGAGAAATAATGGTAATGGGTAAAATGAAATTGAGGGTATTCATATTTTCCCCGTTTTAAAACACTGTGGCAGTGCTGCTGTCAAGAGATAAAAGGTATTATTCATCAGCCACTGTAATATTCACATTAATGGAATTAGGCGAAACATATTTAGGCTATCTACAAGATTTGTCATAATAAATATAAGACTACTCAAACCATTTTAGTGCCAGACAGAATAAATATAAAACTCCTCTCATCATTGAAATTAATCCAAATTGAGGACCTGCATGCACCCAGTAATCTTTTTGGCAAGCTGCTTCTGTAGTCAAGAAACATTTTTATCCCAGTAGATGAATTCGTTGTTACGGTAATCGCTCCTGAGAAATCAAGTCACAGTGAGACAGTTGTTTCCACGTCGGCAACAGTCGTGGTCTGCTCTTGTTGTCTCTCTTAGGAAATGATCGCTGTAAACAAGATGTCGGAGAGGTGCTTTTAGAAGCAACGTTTACCTTGATACGTGATGTGGAACCCGGGTTTGTTCTGTGAATAGTCACTGTGGAAAAAAAAGCTGGTTTGGTGGGTGGTGCTGAACAGAGGTTTGGGCATGACTGGGCCGCTGAATCGGTCAATGACAGAGCCCGTCTCCAGCGTTCCGCTACGGATCTCCAAGTAATCGTGGATTGCTTCAGTGGAGAAGTTCAAAAATTGGAGATGGATGCCTGGGAAAGAAAAAAGCAATACGACGCGTGACGTTATACGGATAAAGTCTCCTGAAAAACACTTGCACTTTATCTCATCACCAAAACCAAAAGCAAACAGAGAAACAAGAAAGAAGTGCTACAGACAGAGAAAACAGATTCTCACACAAACTCAAAGAAAACACTTGTTTTAAACTCTACTCAAAAGTTGACAGTGTTTCTTACCAAAGCCGACAGGTAAGTTCACCATCCATGTGCAGTCTAATCCACTGGGGTAGTTGCCGGGGTAACCAGGACTTAGAATCACTCCACTTACATCTGTCATAGACCCACCACAATGGGCTGTACACCCAAACACACACATAAATAACACAGAAAGAAGGAAAAAAGGAAAAGAGTGTTTCAGCGTTGAAAGCAACACATCAAAAGCAGGAGGCTGACCTCACAGGAGGAAGCAGACATGCTTCTCTTTTCAAAAGACACCGCTACTGACTCGAGATTTTATATCTATAACCTGATATTTTGCAAGTTTAAATAAAAAGTTGACTTTAAGTAATGCACACGCTAAACATGTTAGCGTTGTTTGAGCTGAAATGTGTCCAGGGCTTGTTTGTGCAGACTTTGCCTCTGTGCATGTTGACGCTTTGGTTCGCTCTGCATGTTTATGGCAGGGTCTGATTTAGCTTTGGGTCAGTAGTATTCTGCACAGAATACCAAATAATCAGCTCATCACAGGAGAGTAAATTGATCAAACAGCTTATTTCCCAGAGAGCCAGTGAAGGCGGTGGAGGCTGATTGCATCATTTCTGCAGCACTGAAGTTTTGCATGTTTCCCAGCACATCCAGGCTTGAATGCATATGTGTATGTGTGTGTGGATGGGTGTAATGTTGAGGAAACACCTACCGATACACAGCGGTACAGGATAGTTCCATCTCCTAACAGGTCCGGGCATACAGGTTATATGGGCATTGCCCTAAAATGATAAAAGCAACCACAATCTTTTCTTAGAAACAACTAAAGAAATCCCTGCCAGTGACTGCACTGATTTAAACATGCTGTTTTACATTTTTTCCATTAATCACTGTGCATTTACATTAATAGTACAGATCTGTATATTAAGCAGAACTTGACAGAATACTGTACAAAAATTGGGCAGACCACACCAGAGACATGCATTATTCAGGAGTTATGCAAACCACATCAGAGTTGTATGTTTAGCAAGAGCTGTGTAAACCACTTGAGAGTGGGGTTTCCTTTTGACTCTTTTAAATAATTTTTGGTTTATGCAGCCAGTGGATAAAAAGAATGAATGGTGGCAAAGCTGAACATGCTTTTACATTAAAAAACCTAGATATCTGGAAATCAGTTTGCATTAAACAACTAGCAGTATTTGTGATTTATGTTCATCTGCCACTTAATATGAAAAGAAGGACCAACGTGTGGATTTTTTACCTGAAGAGAGTATCCTTGTTCGCACGAAAATTGCACAACATCTCCCACCATGAACCTGTCTCCTTGTCTAATTCCATAGTTTGGAGTCTGAGGTTCTGGACATGACTCCAGACCAATAGCTAATAAGAAAAAATAACATGATTATTTGGAAATACCGCATGCCTCTGATAAAAATGCTTTAAAGATATAGATGTACCTGTATATTCCAGGTGAAATCCAGCAGCTGAGACACTAATATCAGAGCTGAAGCTGAGATAGAGGTTGTTAGATGTACTATTCAGGAGAGGGGGGATAGTAGTGCCTGAAAGCAGGGAGAAAAGGAGAAGAGGAACAGAGGGCCATGATCACATTTTTTTCCTCATTTTTCAACTAAGGCCTTTAAAGCACATGATCTTAGTTATCTGACAGCAAAGGAGACAACAAAGGCCTCCCAAACCTACATTTTTACTTTTTTTTGTTAGTGAAGTGCTCTCGAAGGAGGGAGAAGGGAATTACTTTTATTTGAGACATCTGTTTTATTTGAAACCACTTTTCAAATGTTGGTTTGACCTACTTAGCGTGGCAGGGGAGAGTACAAAGTTAAAAAAGAAAAAGGGGATGCAATACTGAAGCAAAGCTGGCACAGCACGTCAGTATAATCATGACCCTTCAAAATAACGTATTAGATGATCTTTTATGCAAAGGAATATGAGCATACTCCAGTCTCCTTATTAGCAGAAATGCCATTTATTTTTCTTGGCATGCTTCAAGATGCAACAGTGGTAACAACATTTCCTGATATAAGCTACTTGTGGATTTATATTTCGCAATCGCCACTTCAGAATAAAAAAGGGTCGATTTGCATTGTGTTGTGCTCGCTGGCAGGTGTGCCAGAAACAGAGACAGATCAGCAGTGAAACGGGTCAGTAGATGTTATTGGTTGCCTGTTGTGAGGGAAAATAATTAGCACATTGCTGAACAGTCTGCAGCCCCCCTGTTGTTGTTTTTACATTATCATTCATTATCATGACGGAAAATAAAAAGTGCTTTTTTCCCATAATAATAATTCCTGATTGATGCCAAAATAATTAACTGCATTGATTTAACTATCGCAGTTATTTGAGGATGGATGACAGTATTAATTAAGAGTTGTAATTAACCCTAATAAAAAAAGATCCATCTCTTCCCTACAAAGATTTATTCATTAATTATATTTTTACATGAAATCCAGATAGAATAATGTTATTCTAATTGTGTTCCATATAATCTCTAAACTAGCTTACTATAAAGATGTCAAGTCCTCTCATAGATTATTTAATACAACTAGGAGGTACCCAGATGACTTTGCTTCCCTAAAAGCAGTATAGGTTTCCTGAGGCGATTATGACTTCTCCTTTGGGCAGTGGTCTGAATTATATGAAAAAGTAAATCTGGAATGCAGGTTAAATCCAAACTGAACAGACATTTTGGTTGGACATGAGGTGCTGGGAAATTGTAGGGAATTTCCATTTTATGGCTTAGTCACACTAGAGTGAAAATAGGACAGCAACCTTCTTGCAGGTACGAAAAACTGGTACTTGCCCAGGGATTGCACTGAAAATGCATTTCTTTGCACTTGCAAGTGGTTCCTTCAAAGAATCGTCACCCAGAGTTTGAGAATGTTGCATCCAAAACTTGGTGGCCACTTCTGATTGCAAGGTGATTGCACAGGTCATCTGGTGGAGCGTAACCTGTGTGGTCTGACTCAGATGCCATTTATCTGTTTGTTACAGAAGTCTCAACTCAGCTGCTGACTGGTTGTATTCTGCTTATGTTCCTATAAAAATGTCACTCTGGATTTAATCATTGGTATTCTTAATCTCTGGCTCTCCTCCACACCCTAACTTTGTCTTGTCTTCCTCCCCTCACCTCTAACCAGTGCGCCTCCCTGAGCTTGGTTATTCCAAAGGTTTCTTCCAGTTAAAAGGGAGTTTTTCCTTCCCACTCTCAGCAAAGCACTTTATTATTGAAGGGTCTTTACCTTAAAACATGCCTTGAGGCAACTGTTGTTGTGAGTTGGTGCTATATAAGTAAATATAAATTGAAATGAACTGAATAAAATGCGGGTTGTTGTGCACCTGTGTCATTCTGCAGTTAAATCGCTGACCTCCAGCAACTGCGTCACTATTTGTGGGGCAATTTCTGAATTTCTGTTTTGAAACTATGAGGTTCTGTCAGGAACCTGAATGTAAGCAGTGACTGGGAATTTTTTTTTTTTAACGCAGGATGTCTGCGAATAACTTATACAGCTAATTGCTTTCTTGTCTTTCTGTCCATTTTGACACAACTGACAGCAAGTTTTCACAGATCTGGTCCCCGTGTTTAAAGCAGCCATTTTAAAAGCAACAAGATCGCAAGTTCATTGGACATAGTTACAATAATTTGACGTTTTGCAGTCTCTAGCCACAGTTTCCTCTGGTATGCATGTAGCATGAGGCAATATAGAGCAGCTGCATTGGACCCGCTTACTGTTTCAGATAATTATATGGCAGGTACAAGTGAAAATCAACAATTCTGTATAAAACACAAATACTGAGAGCATTAAGTTTGTAAATCCTCCTGAGAACTGAGGAAAAGGGAATTTTCCCATTGAACTTCTTGTGTGATTTCCTTCCTCTTTGCAGCTAAAAGAAGCCACCCAAACACATGAGATATCAATGGAAAGCCCAGCGTGTCCTCTATTTAGCACATCAGGACATAGTAGCAGCTCAAATAAGTCAAAAAATATAGACCAAAAACAAATATCCAACACAGAGGAGTTCTGCAAGCCCCAAAAACAGATTTATGACTCACATAACACTGTTGCTTTTCACTGAAGCAGAAAAACAAATATCATCATTTAGACAAGATAAGAAAATCATTAGTGCAGAAAAGTTATCTTAAAGGTTTCGCCAACAACACAGTGCAGTAAATTTTGGGACCAATAACAAATATGAATAATTCCATTAATACTGAGTTTGACAGATCATCTTTACTCCTAACGGGAAATTTGGCTGTAAGAGGATCAATTAGTTTTGCAAAAGATATTTTTTACATATCTTTCAAAGGAGATTTTTGACACAGGCCTTACTGGGTATGTAACTCAGCTCCTGCTGAGACGCTAAATGCATCCAGCTTAACTCAAATTGCAGGAAGCCACATGAGCAGATTTCACATTTTATTTATTTAACTGTCAAGACTGGCTGTGATCAGCCTAAAATACAATCCACTTCTTATTGTTTAGTTATCAGTGGAATGAAAAGCTTCCTGAAATTATCTGAAGCATTTGATAAACAGCATAACAATCTCTAATTGAAAACTCAATTGCTTGGTATCAGACTTACTTCCATAAGAGCAGTATAAACCTTAATATATAATGCCTTAGTAACCATTTCCCAGCCCACTATAGATCTTCAATGATGCAAAACTGGGAATCAGAAATAGGTTGTTTGATGGTTACTGGTGTACTGTGCTAGAAAAAACAGTATTGTTATCCACTAAATATATACAAATTCAATAAATCTCACACAAGATGGACTGCACTCCTTTTAGACTAAATAGCGTAACTGTGGGCTCTCGTGCATGTACCTTGTACATTATTGTAATCTTAAATTCCCATATTTTCTTCGAGTATGTCACTTCTAGTGCATTTAATATTGAACTATTCCCAGCACTATAGAGTTCTACTTGAGTAACACCATAAAAAAATGATGGAAAAAAGTTTACCAGAGTAGCTTCCCAGTCTTGGTGCATGGTTGTCAGCACCGTCGTAAAAATCCAAAGAGTCCCAGTTATGCTCAGTGGCAAAACTCACGACTTGTATCTGGAGAGAGAGAAAAAAAGAAAACAGAAGTGATTCTTAGATTTTTTTTGTCTGTCTTTAGTAAAATTCCCCAGATTGCTATGAAACTGCATTTGGTACAATGTTCAACAGTTTATTAAGCTTAAATTGAGAGAATTAAAACCCACACATACTGTTTTTAATCTAAATGCTTCACAAAGCAATCTATTGAGACGGAGCAGCTTCAAAAACAATTATCATTCTACTTTTAAATCAAAGGCTGGAAGGAAAGGAATCAAAGGGATTTACAAACACTTTGAGGTGCCTGTCATTTCAAGGGACTGCACCTTGTGTAAAAGGCATCTTTGCCTTTGTATTTGTCCGTGATAGCAGTTTAGCTTACATGCAATCAGGCCTTATCTTTCATGATTAGATCATATCTAGTTATCTCTGGATGGCCCCTCTCTCAGAAACCATCCATCCATTCATCCTTCTAATAATATCTTATCTTCCCTGAGATCCTGCCTGCTCAGCTTTTAAGCCAATGATACATAGGTCAGCCAGGAAGCAGCATGTGACAGTTACTACCTGTATTCCAGCTCCTTCTGGGACAGAGACCTTCCAAACACAATTCTGGTTGTTGTCATATGGCTCTGGGTAGCCAGGCGACAGGATAGTCCCGCGGCGAGAGGTCAATACGCCCCCACAGGGAACTGGGAGAGAGAGGAGTGAGTGCACAGAGCATAGTAGAGGAGAAAGGAGAGAGGAAAAAACCAGAGGTTAAAACAACACTTTGTAGACAAATTACAGGAAAGCAAGACAAAGTGAACCATTCCAACCATGCCCATAACAGAAAGAGATACCAAAGAGCCAATCTGGATAACATATATGACTAGAGTGCATATGGATTGCAGTTGTTTGCATTTGTTTTAAATTGTTTTTCAGTTATGAGCGTCTACTGTGCAATCATGCTAATACTGCATTCAGAAATAGATAAACAAACCTTTCTGCCCTGTGTCTGATTTTCAGATTCATATTTACCTATACATGTTGGCAAAGTGTCATTCCATTGCGCCAGGTTGTCCGGTACACTCTCACAGCGAATGGCAGTAGAGCCATGCAATGTGTAACCGGGGTTGCACTCAAATTGCACCAAGGCGCCGACTGCAAAGTCATTACCGAGACGTTTCCCGAAGCGTGGCTCGGGGACTGAACTGCACTGGGTGGAGCTAGTCCGGGGTACAGCTAAAGGAGAAAAAAAAGAAAGTGCCCCAGTGAATAAACTGAAGTGTATCACTGTCACTGCATATGGGAAACATATTGAAAATTTCAAATTAAAATTTTCTTTAAATAAATGTAACAAAGGGCGAGAAAACGCATACTCAAGATGATGTGTACAATCAAAATGTTCTGTTTAACTGAAAAAGTAGCAAACAATGCAGTAATGCATGGTAATAAATGCATAGTAATAAAAAAATGCTCATCATTATAATAGAAATGGCAATAATAATATCAATAATGACCTTGGTAGACAAAATGAAATCCCTTAGCGGTTTCTGGTCCAACTGTGGTGAACTTTATTGTAATCTGGTTTCCTGAACTCAGAGGGAGAGATTCACCTAGAGATGAAGTGGAAGCAACAACACGTTATGAGGCTGAGGCTGAGTGACTGTCATCTGTTCAACTATCCACAATTAAAATCAACCATCCTTACCAGAGTGTGACCCAGAGAGAGAAGACAGGAGCGTGTTTTGTTGAGTGGGTCCGTCATAGATCTCCACCACGTCATTAAGAGACGTCTGGAACAACACAAACTGGCCGAAGAGAACTGGAGGTAAAAATGGGGGAGAAAAGAGAGAAAGAGATGAATTAACCGCAACTGAATGGCAGCAAATTATTATTCCATGCCACTGTCTGCTGCTGACCTTCCAATGATAAAATTAACCTGTAATACCTAATTTAAATGTTATTAAGCTGCAGTGTCACCTTCTATTTGAGGCCAACTATTGGTATAAAATTATATAACACTTATTAGTCAAAACGCTACCTTGCCTTCATCATGCTGTAGTCAACACCACCACCCCGCCACCCACACCCTTCTCCTCATCAATTGGCAACAGTGTATCAGTGTTGTCAGCTAGCGGGAGATGCTAATCTTGCAAAGACCGACTTGGATTGGTAACGTACGCTAGCAGAGCAAGACGCTTTTCTGTCCTTTCTTCTGTATTGCAAGTTTGAGTGAAAGCCATATAACAAAGGCGGTAACCTGTCAACTCTGAAGTGCCACTCACACACTGAAACTGATCCAATCACGTTTCCTTGCGAAGAACACCTGCAGGGACTTGCCAATTAATGACATGCTACCGCTGGAAGACAGATGTGTAGGAAAGGAGGAAGGAAATACATCCAATACTTCCATACAGTAACAAAAGATTAAATTTCAGAGTGCAGCTGTACGGGCAGGTAGCATTAGACAGTCCCGGAGGTATTTTCTCAAACAGGTACAATTTGCTCTGTCTCGAATGATCACTGTACCATCAAACCAATCATTAGTAACCTGAAGATGCAAATTGGTAGGTGTAGTTTTATTGTTTGAAGCACATGTCCTATCTAAAAAAAATGTCCTCTGGGATAAATTACACCGATTTGGAGCTTTCTCTTCCACTCACTGCACACATGCACATATATATCACCTCCACACCCCGCCTTGCTCTCACTTTGGCCCCAAAGGCTGAGGTGTTAAGGATTAAATCTGAACATTGCCAAGGATATGCTGGTATAAGAAGGTCACTGGTCAATTTATACAAGGCTGCCTCTCTCTGAGGATCTCTTTTAAGGTTTCAGTCACATTTTGCAGAAACATAGCTCTGGCTCACCCACGATCCTCTGTGCTTTCGTGAAAATTCTCATGTTGTTTTATTGACAAGCAAAGCAGGACGGAAACGATGGATTTTCAGTCGCCACCGAATTTTTCCCACAGTCAAAAAGGGGATTAAAACAAATCATTAAGAAAGCGTTTAGCTTCATATGGTAAACTACCCTCTTATTGTCATGTTTTATTGGCCTGTCATGGTTTCTGCCTGCCTGCAGACATCGCTGCCCACTATGTAAGGATTTTTAGGAAATCAGAGCGATTAGTTTCCCTCATTCCTTGCTGTGATATTGACATACTGCACAGCAGGCGGAGGAGTTCACACCTGAAACTGTTTCAAAATACAGTACACATTCGTCAACATTTGCACACAGCTTCATGAATTTATAAAGTATGATGGTACACAGGGAATAGCTAACACACCTCAGCGGTACTAATAAAAAAGCCCACACAAAGTCACAGACATTCACAGACACAAAGGAATTAATGATCACAGCAGTGTTGTCCTTTGCTATGTTAACCTCATCGCTCTCTGTTAGAGAAACGCCTCTGCATGTAAAATCATATAGACCCTAGAGATCGGGTCAGCCATCTAGTTCTTAGAGTCCACCAAAGTCTGAACTGATCCACTGAATTTAAAATCAGGTGATTTTAAATGTTTGACTGTTCATTTGAAAGGTCTCTTTACTTCCTAGCATCAGTTGGAGAGAAAACTGGGCGCTGATCCCTGTGGAGCTCCCGTGCCTACTGATGAGTTGCCTGAGTGGGTGTCCTCTGCCACGTAATCATCCAACAGGAGGTATAGCATCTCCAACGGGACATATGCCCAGGGTTTTCCCTACGTGCTGGTAAAACTGAAAGAGGCATTTGCACGAAGGGAGAAACCTCATCGACCATTAACCAGCCGAGTTTTTTTCAATTCCTACATCTCTGATCGCCTGACAGTTCAAACAGCAGGACTGCTGCAACCTCCAGCCTGGACCATTCAATTGCTGTAATTAAAAACAAGATATTTTACACAAGAATGACAGCTGCTTAAAAATTATGGGCAGTGCTGCAACTTAACAAAACAATCTGTCTTTTCACTCTGTGTGGGAGTTTTGGGAAGGCTCTCTCTGTGTGTCTTATACAACACGCAGACCAACCAAATGTTAGCTCCTCTCACTCAGGATTTCTACACGGAGGTGAAATATAATGAGACATCAACCATCCATGGCCTCAGGGAGAGCTGAGATTTATTCATAACACCACCAGGGCATAATTGGACATAACCCACCAATTACTGATTGTTTATTAAAGCTTAATTCACATTCAATGAGCAAATAGTTCTAATAATCAGTCAACAATGTTGTTCATTTATGATGTTGTAAACTGATATTGTAGGCACAAATATAAGTTGTCCATCTCCACATTGATGGCATTCTTAGTTCAACAACACAAATCTAACTTGGTGTCCACTTGCAGGCTCTCTCCAGAGCTGTTAAATACAGTGATGCTTCACTCACACGTGTAGATTAGAGTCGCACTAGAATACATTAAAATGCAATTCTGTATTCAGCTTGAATTTTGAGTGATATGAATATACCAAAATATTCCAGACAAAACTCCTAACAGCTGTGGCAACAATAAGGAATTATTTACAGGTTATTTTCCAGCAGAAGCCTTTTAACCCCCCCCCCCTCTAATGATCACCCTCTCAGCACAGCCTCACTGTAACATGAAGAATCTGCTATAATATTCATATCCTTATTTATGTCTGGCTTTGAGACCACCACTCAAATGTGGCAGTCTCATCTCTAAATGTCACTACAATTATGAAACTCAGGCCTAGAGACAAATTAATGGCTAGAAAGCATGTTTTTTATCACTTGTAATATAACTGATGTTTCTGCGTGTTTTCAAAACACTGAGGAAGCTTTTCAAGATTCCCGCAATAAATCTGAAAAGATTTAATGCTGCTCTTTTTTTCAGCGTAAAAAAAAAGCAATATAATAATTATTTGAAAAGAAACTTGTGGCCACATGTTTAACTTTCAAAGCTGAAAGTCTGTACTACGATGTACTGCATAGGTTGTTGAGCTCACCAAACTCTCTTGGTACGGATATAGAGTAGATGCAGGTCTGTCCGGAGGTGTAGTTTCTCGGGAAATTTGGAGATAAAACAGTCCCTTCTGATCCCGTAGAACGACTTCCGCACGGGGCTGGAGATTCAGACGTGTGCACAAACAGATAGCAGTGACAATGAATTCCATACAAGTAAATTCTACTTAAATAGAGTGAGTGACATATATGGGTTTTTTTTTTTTTACCTTGACAGCTAGGTAATGCCCTGTTCCATCCAGGTCTGCCATCATCACCCATACTGCATGTCAGAGTAGAATAACCCTGTAAACAGACAAAAAGGAAAATGTAAGAAAACCAGTCCACGTAACTAATTAACCAGCCAACAAACACCGTTTAAAAATTTCTACCCGCCCAGCCATTCAACAAACCAATGAACAATCCATCCAGCAACCTAAGAAACAGCTACTCAAATCCCAAAATCCCAAATTCAGTCAACCCCTCAGTCATCCAAGTGGCTGTACCTGCAGTACATATCCTGCTTCACAGTAGAAGGTGACCGTCGAGCCCAGCTTATAATCAGATCCCAGCCTGGTCCCATTCAGAACCACACCTGGGTCGAAACAAGATTCCCTCAGCTTGGCTAGATGGAGTAAAGAAAAAAAAAGTGTGAGTTAGAGAGAACATGAGGCAAAGGAAAAGTGACAGGCACACATGAATAATAGGGCAAATTAATAATAACTAAGTCTCTTGCAATAATCAAATGAGGCAGGCATTCCGTTGGCCTTTGTAACAGTCTGTTTGACTTAGCTGTCTTTGCCAAGATGGAGCAAGAACGATAACTTCATCCCCCGGCTTTTGTGTGCTACATGAACCTTGTAAATTATGGCCTTGGCCCCCCTCCCAAAAGATTAGTGGCCACCAGCATCAACTTAAGACTTAATTTCTCAGTCCATGCAAAGTCAGTGTTGACTCTTTTGTGCAAATGAATCAAACTCACACCTCCTTGACAGACTATTTCAACAGACACTGATTCAACGGGCACTTTATGCAGAGAGCAATAATTCTCTTCCATCCTGAATTTAGCATGGTACACATGTATATACACCAACGTGTGAGTGGTCTTAGTGTGAGGTAAAAGAAAATATTGTTGTTATATTCTGCTGAAATTGTGTCATCATGAGTTTCTATTATGTTTCCTGTGGAAATCTTGGAGTAATTTCCCAAATGGCTTTCTTTAAGAAAAACACAAATGACAGAAAACAACATCAAGCAGAGGTGATTTAAAGATTCGAAATTATTTTTCAACAATCAATGGCTATAAAAAAAACCTTGCGGTTGAAATGTTTCAACTTTCCTTATTTGTATCCTTAAAACAGAAAAGAACATAATAACTTAAGACTGACTCTCATGTAGTGGCCATATATATAGTGATATATAGTTAGGTAAATGTACTGTAGTGTGCCACTTCCATTTTTGTATATTTTTCTATGAAAATTGGATATTGGTGCATGAAAACATGGAAACACGGTTTGTACGATTCTAACAAGCTTGAAAGTCAAATTTTGACGTGACCCCAACTATTCTTCAACACAGCCCCGACTCTCTTAGGGAAGCTTTCTTGTAATTTCTTTGAGTTGTTCTGAGGAATCCCATATGGAAAAGAAATAGTAAAAACTTATATGTGATTACTCATGAAAATGGCCACTTTCATGAGTAAATCATATAAGGCTTACATGATTTACTCATGAAAGTGGCCACTTTCTCATTACTTTCATACATTGTTTTAGTAAGTATCCAAAACATACAAGTTTCATTATATAATTTTTCAAGGGATCTTATATCTGTTTTCACTCTTGTATGCTTTTCATACAAGTTTCACACAAGACAGATACAAACTTTACAAGATTTATATATATCTTTTCCATATGGGATAGTACTCTTGAAGGACACCTGCCTTCTGCAGGTGTTGTCAAACTTTTGTTCTCTCCAAGATTTTCCCACTCTGCCTCAATATTGTTGAGGTCTGAGCTCTGGGGAGGCCAACCCATGGCTGAAATGCAGCTCCAAACCATGACAGAACCTCCACTGTGTTTTACAGATGACTCTAGGCACTCACTGTTGTATCTTTCCTCTTAGCCTGTCAGCACACATTGATGCAAATCAAAAATTCACAATAAGACCTGTTGCCACTGATTTTCAGTGTAGGTCTGACATACGCTTGACAGCCACCCTTCCACTGAGACCATTTCTGATCATGCTTTGGCCAGTAGGAGACAGACTGAAGGGCCAGATGCATCTCTCAGGTTCTGTTTCAGGCCTTTGTCCACTTTCCTCAATTTTTAAGGACACAATACAAGACATGTCAAGTTTTCATCAAACAGCCCTTTGAGAATCACCTAGCTGGTGCAAAAATACTATTTTATGCCTGTCAAACTATTTTATCTTTGGCATTTTTCATAGATTTAACTAAATAAAAGTAAAATACAAAGAAATGAGAGGTGACCCAAGACTATTGCACGGTATTATAAACTATTAAATGTTGCAGGAAAAAAATGCACTCCTTTCTCTTCTTTAAATGTGATTATACTTCAAATTTCTTTGCCTATTACACTTTATCAAAATTTGCCTGTGTTATTAATATGACCTCTGTGAGAATGCAAAGTGTAGTTTTAGGTGCTGCCTGATTCAGTAAGAATTCAATTTAAATGAGAGATGTGGTACAGTTAGCAGACCATTATACCTTTGTATTCCAGGTGAAATCCAGTGTAAGAAACCGATCCATCACTACGGAACGCTAAAAGCATTGTATTTGAACTGCTCTCTATCCTCTCTGGGAGTTTGCTGTCCTGGAAGCTACCAATGAGCGGACTGTTGCTATCCGGACCGTCGTAGATGTACAGGAAATCATAGTTTGGCTCAATGTTGAAACTAAAGGTAGAGGAAGACAGAGACAAACAAGGAAGAGAAAGAAAGTCAACAAAAATTCAAGGACAAAGTATCTACCATGAATTCAGTGGTTTTTAGAGTTGTTTTGTTTGTGATTCGTACCACAAAGCAAGCACAGCTTTTGAAAGTGGTGAAAGCTCAATAGATTTCCAAAGCACTTAAAGGCAGAAGTTCCCACTTCTTGAAAAAAAAGTCATAATTTTACATGGTTTTCAATCTTGCACAAAGCAAAAACGAAGTTGATTATTTCACTTTACTCTCGTTTACCTGCAGGAAAAATACCCTAAAAATTGTAATTTTCACCAACCCGATACAAAAGAGTCTTTTGGTCTGTTGCTCCAACACTTTGTCCAAATTGAAATGATTGCCAGAAAATTTGGTATTAGAACTTACTGCCAGCAAAAAAGGATATCCAGGTTTTCAGTCTTCAAATGGAGCCAGCTCAGCTTGGACAGGCTTTTAGTCTACTGTCATTCCATTTCACATTTCACTCGGCAGTAACATTTGTCTAGTAAAGAGGTTTTAAAAAGCTCAATCGAGCTGAACTGGAAAGTAGCATTGTAGGTTACCTGATGAAGGCCAGTGACAGGACGTAGTCTGGGTTGACAGCAATGAGCCAGTCACAATCTTTTGAGTGAGGGTAAGGATGCGGGTAGTTCGGAGAGAGTATAAATCCATTGGAGCCTGTTAGATTTCCTCCACAAGGAGCTAAAGTGGGAACACAGGTCAAGATTGACATTCATTTTGACAAAGCCTTGAAATGTCATAACATTTAAATATTCTCTCAAGCTCAACCATACAGAAAAAAAACAAAAACCCTTTGTGTACCATGCAACAGAGTGTGGAGAACACTGCTACTGAATGAAAAGCTTCATTAAATAGCAGAAGAATGAAAATATGTGAATAGAATAAAGCGTGCCCTTTTTATACAGCTCTCCTTTAAGTCAAAGACACATGTGTCCTTGAGTGAGACAATACCTCCAGCTGTATATGCAGTACATTTATTGTGCGTCCCTATAGAATATATGAAAGTTGGAGTGTTCACCTATGCAGACAGGTGGGCTGGGCTGCCAGTAGTATCTGTTATCCACTTGTATACAGGTTATTTTGTCGTCCCCCTGGAGCTCGTATCCTGGGTCACACTGAAAGGACACTGAATCCCCCGGCTCACGGCCATCTCCACTACGACTGCCATTCATCGGTACTCCTGGGTCCCTGCAGGCTGTAGCTACTGAGCCTGGACAGATAGGGGATAGGAACAAAGCAGGGAATAGAGGAGAAAGAGGGGAACAATTACAGAAAACTGTGTCACACCAGGTATCTAATGCTTTAATCCAACGCATAAAAACAGCACCACTTCCACTAACTAATGGGTCCTACGTAAGTTAATTTTGTTCCAGTTAGGTGAAGGTCTTTGAAGCAGCATAATTATATAGCTTTTTATTCCCTTTATTATTGATGGAACTACCCATTGAAGAGCATAGACACAACAACAGTAGTCTAAATGATACCCATCTGTTATATTTGATATCTTTCTGGTTAGATTTAATTTCATCACTTACTAGAAAACTGTATGGCAAATCCAGACTTGCTGATGTAAAAGTCAGTCTCAAACTGAACCGTCACTGTGTTCAGGGTCGAGTGGATTCCTTCAGGGAGCAGAGACCCACTGAGCTCTGCCAAAGACATTTCATTCTCAGGTGGCCCATCCCAAACCTTCAGCATGTCATGGCTGGCTTCAGTGTCAAAGGCCAGAAACTGGAGACTGTAAAATACAAATAAAGTTTAATTAAAGCAAGAATATGTTTCACTTCACACATGAGTTTACACTATGCTTAACATATCGATCAAAAGCCTTAATGCGATCATCTGTACCTCACAATATTTCCCGAGTCCACCTCGATGGTCCAGGTGCAGCGAAGGTTATTGTCATATGGGAAAGGGTATCCGGGGGAAAGGATCCTCCCTGACGACTCACCCTTAAAACGACCCCCACACTCCGCTACAGGGATAAATAACGTCACACACACTTATTTTAAAACAAACTGTAAACATCTCTTTGATTAGCGCCTTTGTGACAACATTACAAATCACCGCGGCCCAACCGATGGCCAGTTGATGTGTGTGTATGTGCGCTGTGACAAGCCAACCATTTATCTGTCTGTGGCAATTGTTTGTCAAGGCAATCAGATCCAGTAGGTGCACCTCAGAGGCCACTGATTAAACGATCACCAAGGAGACAAATGGATAAAGAAAGAAGCTAACTCTTATCCGCTGAGTCTCTCTGCCTTTCTCACTCTATATCACACGCAGGAGATGAAGAGAAGAGGAGAAAAGAGGAGGAAGAAGACACAAAGTGCTGATCTTGCATTCCTCCCTAAAGAAATCACAGCACATTATATAACAGAAAATAATTCCCCCTTCTCTCTTTGTCTCTCTCGGTTATATATTTTCACAATCTTCATCCACTCTCTGCTTTTCCTCCCTCTCCATGTTCCCCCTCCCTCAGGCTCTCCTCCCTTCATCACTGGAATATATTATCTCGGGTAATCTGAGCGATATTAAGAGTTTGGAAGGAAAAAAGACGGAGAAAGAGAGAGGGAGAGGGAAAGAGGGAGAGAAAAGGAGAGAACCAAGGGGGTAAAGAAGGAAAACCTGTGAGTAATAAGAAGAAGAAATATAATATTAAGACTGGAGGTTAGATGAGGTCACAGCGTGTCACTGTTAAAATATAAAGTCAGAGCATTTCAGCCAGTAGTTTTATGAGTCTTTCATTATTGATAGTGTGAAGGAGGGAGACTTATTAGTCTGAATCCAAAATCAGAAAGTTCAGAGGCAGCAGTGAAGGGAAAAAAAATGGTCCTAAAACACTGGACTGGCTGTTATGCTTATAGCTCCCATGCAAAGCAGCAACAGCAGCCATTCTATTTGTCACTTTAAATAAGCCTAACATTTGTTTGGGTTTAATTAGAGGATGCAATCATTCAACCATGTGCTAACTGGAAGGAATAACAACACATCCGAATTAAGTTCAAATAATATTCAAATCACAGCGTTTTAGGTATTTCATTCCAGTACACTGATAAATATGTGAGTGTGTGTTTATTTTCCAAGCGAGAGAAGCCCGAAACTGCACAGCCAGTGAAAGACTACGGTCGACTTCTCGATATCAATACTTCGGACGGTCGTTTTGCATCAGTTTGAAACCTTGGAAAATGAATTAAAAAGGCGACGATGGCATAATTGAGTATTAAGCAATGTGTCGATACTAAGTGGGGAGTTTGCTCCACAGAATGCTTTTAAACAAAGCCAAATCAAATTGAATAAAATGAGTTTATGAAGAAATTCTCAACAGAGTGTTTGTCGCTTAGCTCTTCGTGTGCTGAGAGTTGCCTGGAGGTTATGTGTGCTTTATGTCGGGGCATGTCTGAGTACATAACACAGCACTGGGAGAATATAAGGGCAGGCGCCAGGAACAGAAAGAAAATCTGCCACCGCAGAAGAGGTAGTGCATCAGTTGGGCCGAGGGATTCCAGGTGGTATAATGCCGAATAAATAGGCTTTTCATTGGGACTTTAAAACTACAACAGCGTGTGATATCCAGGGAAAATCAAGAAAGGTGATTCTACAGGAAATTGGCCCCCATCTGTTTTCCTTCCAGATAACGGAATTAACATCCTGCAATCAAATGTTGCATAAAGCTGCAAGTCACTTTCTAATCTATTACAGAGCAAACCTTGTATAATAATGCTTCCTGATACCTAAAGGTGTGTGTGTGTGTTAGCTGAATTCTAGATAAATAGCCATCCCAGCTAAAGAACACAATACACAGACGTAAAGAATTTATAATTACATTGACGTTCATTCACTGGAAAGATCCTGCTCTGATTTTTTATTGAAATGATACCAACACACTTTTCAGCTATTGCGTAACTCTGAATCTATTCAAGTAAGTGCTGTGGAACACACACTACACAGCATTAAATGCAACAAGATCAATTTAAATCTTAGAAATAAAATTACCTCTCCCTCCCAAGCTTATTAAAGAATGTTATTCAAGGTCGGAAACACAATGCATCTGTGGAGGACTCTGCATGCCTTCAAAAAATCTCTGTGTGTGTTTGTGTGTGTTTTCATCAGACCTTCTTTCACAGTGTTATTGGCTTCAGATACTAAAGGACGTACCTATACAAGAAGGCAGAGGGTTATCCCAGGCTCTCCTTTCACCCGTCATACACTTCAGCGTAGAAGCCCCATGTAGAGTGTAACCAGGCTCACATCTATATGTGATACTGCTCCCAGAAAAATGACCTTGGTCGTTGACCTTGAAGCCAAACTGAGGCACGCCTGGGTCTTCACAATGAGACAACTCAAAACCTAGAAAGAGTCATAAAAAAGACAAAAGAGCTTCACAGTATGTACTTTTTAAAAAACTCACTAAGGGAAATCCAAAGCCCACAAGAGAAACAGAATTAGTTTTATTTAGATGCGCAGCAATATTCCCTTAATATCTGGCTCACTCAAGGATTCTGTTTATGACCATGCTGGTATCACAGATCCTGTTAAGCTCTCATCCCGTTTTAATAACGAAACTGAAAAAGATACATGAGACATACCATTATTAGGAATGATACTGGAGCATGTATACACCTTATCCAATTTAATGTTGTTTTTCACAGTCAGTGTAAGCTCAGTTTCCATGGTAATATTCGGAAAATTTGTTCGCAATTTTGGAGAGCGAGATATGAATAGGTATATAAATAGCTTATCCTTATAAGACCATAACCGGGATTTGATCTACGGCATTACCTGGAAGACGAGGTGCACCGGGATTTGAGTTATCTCCTGGCAGACTGCTGTAGGTGCATGTCTAAATCCTTAAAAAAAATGGCTATTTGGAAAGCTATACTTACTATTGAGCAACAATTGCACATTTGTCATCATCCTGACATGAAGTGTGAACAGTTTTCCTATCTCAAATTGTTCTCTCTTTGTTAGATATGTATAAGGAAGCAAACCACCATGCATTATTCATTCGACCACATCTCGGGAGTTTTATTGAATTACAGCCTCTATATCAAATGTAACACCAAACAAACAGAGGCAAAGTACTACAATCTCAAAATTGCTGCTGCTAATGTGCTTTGTTTTACATGGCAAAATAACTTCTACCTGGAAAAGTATGAAAACAGCAAAGGTCTAAGTAAGCCATCCTCTGCGCCAACACAGTACAGAGACAACACAACTTCAAAGCGAATAATACTAAGCTATCACCCTTCATGACACCATTTAAACAATTAGAATTCCAACTGTGCGTCTAAGAGGGCACTGCCAAATGTGGGTGTGCTTTGGTGAACATCAAAACACACCTTTACCACTTCGTCCTACGCTGAAAGCTTTGTTAATCAAACGCGACATGTTTCTTCTGATCGTTTCAGTGGGAAAATTCACATTTACTTCTGTGATCCATCCAACCGTTTAGAGTTAATCTGTTCTAGTGAGCCTGTTAGATTTATCAGAAATCAGCAGTTGTCATGAGGCACCTAACTGGTTAATAATTTGAGACATACTGCTAAAATGTATTTACATCTGCCCAAGATAATCCAAAAAAATCAAAGATTAGACAAAGACACTGGCAGAGTCAATACAAAATGTGCTTTTTAAATGATGACTAATTTATTTATTAAGCAAAGATTTTCAAACCTGCCTGGCCCTGTGTGAAAATGTAATTGTCTGCTAAACCTAATAAGTTAATAACTGGTTATATCACCTGTGGCAGCATCATGTACAATAAGGCATTTGTGATAACTGGCAGTGAGCCTTGAAACTTTGTCCCGCTCCTCTTTGCAGAATTGTTTTAATTCAGATACGAGCATGAACAGCCTGTTTATGGTCATGTCAAAGAATCTCAATCTGACTTAAGTCTTATGCCACTCTAAAACTCCCATTTCATGAACTCTGACCTTAACTGATGCAAGTGGAACATGAAGTTCTTTACATGTTGTTCTTTTGGGTTCTTTTGTCACCTCCTGAATGAATCTTCAAAGAAGTCTTGGAGAAACAGATTAGGCCTTAGCTCTATACTAAACAGCGGTGTTCACTGCTAACTTACTTGAGTACACCAATTTGAATCCTTCTCCTGTGTTTTCCGCATTGCTGTAGAATTCCAACCAGAGGTGGTTTGAAGTGGAAATGAGCGTCAGCCCCAACATGGATGATCCAGTAAATGCTCCGAGAACATGGGCTGTGTTGTCTTTACCGTCATAAATCTGTAAGAACAGCAAAATGCACACCGGATGCATCACATGCAGCATGAACTAATTTAATTCGTTTATTTTTGCATATCTGGCAAGAGCAATGACCACATATGCGTATGTGTGAGTGAGTTTACTTTGAGTATATCGCCTTGGGCAAGATGAAAGGTTCTTGCAGAGATGTTGATTCCTTTCCCAGCTTGAACCTGAGGTCAACATCAAATCAAAATGAGCACTAATGACCCACATAGCAGGTGACAAACCCTCACAAAGGTTTGAAGACTGGTAATACATTTGTCATCTCTTAAACACAGGCAATGATCAATACCATTATTTTTCTCAATAAAAACTCATGTCATGTATATTCTGAAACGTTAAGATCTGTGACCTGGATGCTGTAGATGCACTCGTGGTTGTTATCGTAGTTCATTGGGTAGTTTGGAGAGAGCAGTATCCCTTCATTATTCATGACTGAAGAACCACACTCCGCTGAAGACAGAGGACAGAAAGGAGACAATTAAAAAATGCACAATATTGAGACATTGGTTTAATTCTTAAGAGGCTTATAATGATGTGGAGTGGTCATGTGAACAAGCTTTTGTTGTGCCGCAAATTGACCTGCATTTAAAGCTTTAATGATAAACAAAAGCTATGTTTTGCAGCTTACTAAAGAGGCTTGTGGCTTTTTAAAGCCGTTTGGTCCTACCAGATAAAAGTTTTTGCCCATTTTCTGTGCAGCTAGGGGGAACGCAGGCTGTGCTCAGAGTAATAATCAGTCAAATTCCTTTCTTCTTAATATAAATGAAAAAATATTTTAACTAAAGGCTGTAGGAAAATTTAAAAAATCCCCTTATATCAGTTAATGCGAATGATAAGATTGCAAACTTCACCTGAAGTTGCCTATTCTTTGCACTTCTTACTCGTGCCCTCCATGTACAGTATCTATGTCCCTTTCCTCTCTTTTTCATTCCCTCTCCCCCTCTGTGTCTCCACTAGTGTAATGGTCGTATTACAGCTGCCATATCGTCAATAAATCACACCGCTATAGTTTCCATTTAGAAAATTACCTCCTCACCCTCTCTCTCTCTTTCCTCTTTAACTTCCTCCCTCTTGCGCTCTCGCTACTCTATGAATAGTGCCTCCTTTGCTCCCCTTTACTTCAATCAACTTTCCTTTTCCACTTCTCCTGAGTTTTCATTCTCTTCCATCTCTTGTTTCCTCTTTTTATTTTTTCCTCCCGCTTCTGATGGCATCCAGAAATAATAAAAAAGTAGAAAAAAAAAACAAGACAAAAGAACATTGGATTTCTCAAACTGCAAAGAAACATCTCTGGAAGCTCTCCAACTCTTTCATGGGGGAAAAAAAATGCTGTAAAGAATTAAAAAGAGCCACTCGTAAAACCACAAACACAGACCACCAAAGTTATACTTCATGCCTGCACAGCATATCCCTCAGTTAATTAAAATAACCAAAAAAAAAACCACCCTAACTATTGTGTGCTTAGTAAAAGCAAACAAGAAAAAGTTATTTTATAGCCAAAACATAAGAAAAACCTATTGTTGGTCCTCTAATCTTTCCTTCTTCCTCCGTTCTTCAACTGTGATGTGTACCATCATGCAGCAATGCAACACAATACGCAGAAACTAAATATAGCAAACTGCACTACACCCCAGAACAGTGGCACACAACATCACTCCCACCTTTCTGCATTATAAGTCTTGTCACGCCGATGAAAGAACGAAGGAACCAAAGCCGTGTATAATGGCGCTGAGAACATCATGCAAAGCTGAAAATTAGATTGTAGAGTAAAATCTACTCACACGTAGCCTAAAATTAAAAAGTCGCATAGTGTTGCTGCTTTTTACTAGAATTGGATTGGTCTGGCTTTCTTCGTAATTTCTCAAAAATATTATGTTTAAGATAACTAATTCTATGAGCAAGTGCAGAAATGCAGAGTCTCTTTCGCTATGTGCTTTTACTGCTGTCACTTGTAGATACTACTAACTGCACCCAAATCAAATCTTACTTTACACACTTCTCGCCTGAATTCCCTGAGGTTAACTGTACATGATAATGATTCCCACTGATAAACTTGTGCTTTAAATTAGACTTATCCTATCTATTTAAGAGCAAGCGGTAGTAATTCTCTGGAGTAAAGGTAGCAATTGAGAGGAAAGTGCCTTGATCAAAGACAATCTCCTGAGTATTCCTTATACACCCAGAATAGCTCAAAACCAACACAGACAACAACACAGACAGGCAAAAAGCATGATATTTCAGTATTTCTTCTTCTTTTTAATCAGTGTGATTGCTTTCATCTTCCATTATTAGCCCAAACAAATTAGATTTAAATGCATTTTCCTTGACAAAAAATGTGCATGTGTGGCATCCAAGATATGAACTGCTTGTTTTTATTCTATGTTTTTAAAACCTAGTGAGGAAGTTATTATTTTGTCCTTTAAACCAATTGCTCATTTGTGCATTGATTAATTATTAAAAACAATTATACAGCCTTGCATAGAAACACATTTTCCAGTCCACAGGTGAAGGACTTTTTATTCGAATAGGCATATTTTTAGTGCAATCGGTGCCACTCTGAGTATACATTTTAATAATAAAACCACCATCCTTGTTTTTTCATGCATTCAAACACTGGGCTTTTACTTCACATTGTAGTACATGCTACTTTTTGTTTGCTGTGTGTGTTACTGGCATAGTGCTACAGTTACACTGAGTTGGATTAGCGTTCAATATGGTGCATAAACCTACTGTAAATCTGATTGCATGTTTATCACATCGTAAAAGCCTTTCTCAGTCTGTGTTCTGACTTCGAAGAAAAATCTCTTGTCTCAAAGATTTTATATAGTGTGTATATCTTAATATTGTTTTCTGTCTACCTTTATGACTTCAGTTTATTGAACAAGTATTAAAGTATCGGGGGGGAAATTACAACTTTTTCCAGTATAAAAAAAATAATCTGTATTATTTCAGATAGTGTCCTTGCCAGTAAATTTCAAAATTATAAAAGGTGATAAAGCAATGTGAACAGGACATAAATGTCAGCCTGCTAGGGACTCCTGAAGAAATATCTCTGGCATTTTCTGCTCATCCACTAATTGGAAATTGGCTGATACAAACGCTGTTCTCTGAAGTACCATTAAGTTTGGACTGACCGTTTAATATTTATTTTTTGGAACAGTTGAACATTAAGGATGTTTCTGTAGCTACAGCCAGAGGTCAATTATAATTTTCACTTCAAAGGTGGAAGAACAACCTTTTCAAAAGACCTGAGCCTTGTGTTGGTTTATGGGTGAGGAAATAAATTATATTGATTATATCAAGGGAAGCTGAGTTACTTTTTAACTGTAATCACTATTTACTTCTTCATCTATCCATCTGTCCTGCCCGGACCTCATCCTTCCTGGGGGCACACTAAGATATTCCCAAGACAGCTAAGAGATACAGTCTCTCTATCACCTTCTAGATCTTCCCCAGGGCCTCCTTTCAGTGGGACATACCCCAAGCACCTCACTTAGGATGCCTCACCCATGGGTCGTTCAAGTCAGACACCCAAACCATCTCAATGAGGCTCTGCCCTGAGCTGCTTCTGACTGGGTAAGGCTCTTGTAGAAATGTTAATTTGGTTGCTGAATTATAGCTGACAATGGAAATCCTACTCTCGCTACAGCTATAGAAGACTGAATAGTTTGCAGGAATGAGCCAGACACTCCTGATTCTTGCTGCACTCCCCACAGGGCAGCATGAGGGACGTGGTTGTATGCCCTTTCTGACACATTTGGCCAACTCTCACATATCCTTAAGAATGTAAAGAGCTGACTGATGTTTCATGAACTCCAGAACCTGAGGCTTGACTAGCAGTCACACTCATCTTTCCAGTACTCTATATTCCCTCTTGTGGGTAGAAAGGTCATATGGATCTTTCAGACTGGGTACAGCATAGCCCCAAGGGTTAAGACCAAAGCACCAAGCACTTCCCTTCAAGCCCTAGGCTTGGCTCCAGGGTTTGCACAAGTTACCCTGTTATGGGAAGGGTTACTTGGTCCCTTGCTCCCCTGATCTCACAGTGGGTGTTCTGCTAGTTATTTCTATTTGATTTCCATCGGTTTAAGAGTTTGAATTTATGTAATTATTGAGACATTTTATAAAACTATATAAAGACATGACTTGTTTTTGTTTTATTTTAAGCACCACTGGACTAAACTGTTCACTGCGACTTTTTTATTACTGGATCTTATGTATTAGATACATATATATGTGTTTGGTTTTTACTTTTATTTATTTATGATATTTGAAACAACTAGACACCCACAAACAAACAACTAGACACCCACGACACCTGACCAGTAACAATTAAACACGTACCGACACATCTAGGTAAAGGGGCGCTCCACATTCTTCGCCCGCCTCCCAGACAGATTAACTCTGGTGAACCCTCCAGGCGGTATCCCATATTACAGGAAAAAGACAAAGTGTCTCCAACACCAAAACTGTAGCCATTTCTCCTGCCGAAACGAGGCATGCCGGGGTCCTCACATGGCTCCAAAGTATATTCTGCAGAAAAAATAATAATTGAATGACACTGAACACATTACTTTAAACTAACAGACAGCAGGTCAAAAGGTAAAATAACTTTTCTTTACTTCTGACTAAAAAGCCATAACCAGACACATATATTACACATACTATCTGTAGGAAATATGACATAATTTCTGCATGTAAATACATAAAATGTTAATGTTATTTATAGAATTCTGGAACAAGTGCATGATAATATTTGTGATTACGCAAGCAATATGAAAGAATTAGCTAAGCTAATAATGTAAATACTTACAATGAGGCCAAGATCTTGGGCTAATCTTAAATAACAATTTCGGATTAGCCAAAGGATGAATGCATGCATACATTCATGGGCATGAAGTCTCTCCCTCTCACTGGACAAGCCCTTTTAATTAATTCAGTAATTCTTGTGAAACTCTTGAATATGTAGTCTATTAAAATATAATCCTTGCATGACTGTAGGAATGAACATCTGAGTCGACTCCAGCACGCCCTGAGCTGAACTTGTTGAGTTTGTGTTTAGCAAGATAGAGACTCAAAGCTATTTTCAGTTGGCTAAGACTGATGATGTGATGTGTTTTTTAGGGTGTACTGCTGAAAGAAAGTGCGTGTTGAGAATTTTAACACTGCCAAGTCAAATCTCCCATGACACCTCCCATGTGTTGCACTCTGAGAGTCAGCTTATGCCATCTGGGTGGCAGTAAAATATCACTCAGTGTAGTCAGGCCACTGCTCCTTTATTCCAGAGTCAGTGAGAGGGTACTGAAAGGACAGTTAGGCACAAGACCCAATCCTTTTTTTTAATCTACTTCTGGTTCTGCATGATATCATTGATGTAGGATGTTCCTAATATGATCATTATAGGTACTGTGGGCATAAAAGCCCCACCGAGCTGCTCTTCAAACCTTCTCTTTGCCACTGAGCAACAGCAAATCAGAAGACAGCATGATTGGAGGGTGGCATTAAAGAGAAAAGAGCTAAAACAGCATGTTTCTGACCTCTGATGAGGTTAGGGGCTCCTGTCTTCATCTTGTTCTTTCCCTTTCCTCACATACCATCATTTAATAGTGGATTGCTCTCAGATTAATATTGTGTAGCCATCTGCTTTTTTCTGTAGTAATTTATAAGATTACAGACGTAGTCCTCAATTTATGGAGTAAGATGTCAGTTTAGATAGTGAAAACTAAAAAACCCCATCAGAACAACAACAACAGAGTACAGCAAAACTGTTTTTTGTATTATTCATAATATTCTGTGTTTTGTAGCTCGGCACCTTTCGCACTCTTAAGTAATTTAGAGTTGAGCACACCAGTTCGTTGGTTGAGTTATTCACGTGTGGCCCAAGAAGACACATTTTTAAAAAAGTCAATAACAGCAGAAGACACAGCTGAATGTTAAGATGTAAAAAGCTGGCACGAAAATAATTATCTGTTTATCTACTTGTGGGAAAACAAACAAAAAAGAAACTTTTTCAGCCCCCAAAGTATTCTGGAGGCCAATTTCTAAAACAGTTTTCAAAACCAAAGTTTATAAAATAAGTTGTTTAAGATTTTGGATACATATATTATTTTTGGCAATTTTCAGTCTGTTGTTGTAGATGGTTATACATGGATTATGCTTCGTCACTGCAGATGTTACTTGACTGAGAGAATTATGTAGGCAGTGGGTGAACACGTCCAGGTCGGCCTTGCTTCTTTTTCTATGATTATGACTTGTACAGATCTGCAAGCTTCAGTTTGAATCCCGTTTTGTTTCTTCTTCAGGAAATCTTTAGAGCTAAGTAAATCGACACTTTGGAGCAAAAGCATATCTGAACTAGCCACTAAATAGTAAGTTGGTTCAGTGGTTTTACAGCAAGGTTGTGAGATATGAAGCCAATGCAACAACGCAACTGCCATAAAACTGCATTTCCTTGAAGGTCACTTGACTCCAAAGACTTCTATTGTAAAATGTTGAATTTTACACCAGACATAAATGCTAAATGCACAGTCTACTAACTGTGGTGTTGGTGTGAAGCGTTCAAAAATAATTAGCGTATAAATAACTAGGCTTTATGTGCGTTTTATCGTCGGTTTTTCTAAGATGTTTGTGCTCTTTGGTGAATCCTTTTGTAGGATTTTATTTGCAGATTACTTAGCACTAATTAACTGGGTCTTCTCAGCTACTGCATGTAGTCATGGTAACCATGCCCATCTTTTATATGTAGTCTGTAGTTTAAAGAAGGCTCATTATTCTCAATATTAAACTTGTGGCCAGACAAAGCATGGTACAATGTTTGACATGGGCTGAAGAAGCACATGCAGTCTTTAAAATTAGGTAATGATCATATTCATTCATAACATATAAAATATCCAGCACTCACACTTCATCTTAAGCTTTAAGCTAAAGACGTTTGTGCTTTTGTGGCTGTGAGTATGTCAGAAATTCGATCCTATGAACACTGAATATCCATTTTTATTATTTAGAAGCACTCTGTGATAAGTTGCCACATAAATGAACTTAATGGCATTTCTTTAGTGACTTTACAACCTGGCGTAAGGCTGCGACTTATAATTTACAACCTTCATTTTAAGAGACAGTAATTGTCTTTTCTGGTATAAATGTTGCTCTGCTCACTTCTCTTTAAAGAGAAGCCATAATTTCACAGTGGTGTCTGCATGAATTTCTAGGGTGAACCTGGCAAATGTCCAGCTTGACTATTTTATTTTATTTTATTTTACTGGCACAATTCACACAGCAAGCTGTTACATGACTGTTTTGCATTCAGTTATGTTTCATAATCTCAAACATTTCAACATTTGCAACATTACACCATTGTTCCAGTGAGCAAATTAAGACAAACAGAAACCCTTGAAGTGACTAAACTGAGGGTAAAACTGAATGTAGACTCGCTGGATTAAAATGAAAAACTCCAGTAAGGAAAGTTACCCGAGAAAGTTATGTTGAAGCCCTCATATGAAATGGAAAAGTCAGAGATGAATCGCAACTGGGCTTTGAAGTTGCCATAGAGACCAGCATTGATGTTGCTAGGCAACTCGTTGCCGGTCAGACGAGCCAGAGGTTGCAGGAAACTCCCATTCTCCGTAACCAAGAGGTAGTCATGTTGGTCCTCCAGGTGAAAAGAACTGAACTGAAACTGGACTCCTGTTAGAGACACAAGCACAGACGAGTCAGAAGACAGACAAAGTTTGCTTTATCCTCAGATGGTTCATGCACCTCGACTTATAATATGTATGAGTCATTATACTGGGACAGCAGCATATTCAAACTTTAATCAGTGACGATTTATTTTTGAGATCATTATTTTATTTGACTTTATTTTGGCAACATTTTACTTTTGACATTGCTTTCACCAAATTGCCTCCATATGGCGCCTGAATATTTTATAAGCCACAGAAAACAATGTATGTTTGTGGATGTAGCATAGCAGCAACTGAACCACTGAGCTTGCTGTACTGTCTCACACTCTGTCTGTCTCTATTAAGGAGTGTGGATCTCTGTGTATGTGTGTCTCTTGCCTTTCCCGTGGCTGACTTCAACGGTCCAGGTACAGTTGAGAGATGAAGGGTAGCTGTCTGGATAGCCGGGACTAAGGATGGTGCCCCAGGGACCTCTAACATCCCCACCACATAGAGCTGGATAGATTGAGAGAGACAGAGTGGGGGGAGAGAGGCAGAGGGAGGGAGATGAGCAGAGACAGGGGATGGAGGCAGAGAGAAGGTTAGCATCAGATTGTTGATAGCTAAAACAGATAATGTTTCCCTGTGGACCTTTAATACCACTTCTATAGTACGTACACACAAGCATACCCACACGCAAATGCTGCAAGAGGGGCAGAGGAAGACGGAGCAAAGGGGAGAGAGGGAGCATGAGAGAGAGACGGGGAGACATTTTCTCAGAAGTGGGTAGCAAGGTCTGCATGCAGTGTGAGCTCCAAACGTGTGTGCTTTCACACGTTGGGGAGTAGGAAAACACTGTTTCACTGTGTATTCCCTTACAACTTTCCTTTAAATGTTGAAGTCATATTTTTCAGATTTATTCCTCCCACTGTTGCACAGACATAAAATAATGACATAAATAATGTAAAATCTGCCACACACTGCACTGGAATGATAAATAATGCATCATTTGTTGTTTTTGTGGTATATTTTAATGTTCTTGAAACAAACCAACGCCTAACAATGATTAGCGACACAGATGACTGTTATTCCTTAAAAAGGTGAATAACACCAGTGACAAAAGCTATGTGGTTTTTTTTTCCTGTTTACAGAAATGCTGAGTTGAACTGTATGCCATTTATGCAAATTTGGTGATCTCTTCAATTTGTAGATTGTCTGCCAGGTATGGTGACTGTGACCACAATGCTCTGCATAGTACAAAAAGTGGCATGCTCACCAGACTGTAGCAGGTCTTGCATAAATATGGGAGGATTCTTGGTAGCCTGGATTCAGACAGGCTTTCTATGGACCTCGACATGCTCACATGCAGGTCCACTTGTGTGTCTGTAGTTTTTATGCACTAAATGATAGTTATTTCTAGCAGAACAGCAAATGCACATCTGTTTTGTTCAGTAACAACCTCCAGCTTCAAGATCCATATGGCTAACTTGATATTGCTGCAGTGATTAACCACAACCTCACAATCATACTGTGTTTCATTGCCTTTTTGCAAAGACAAGTTCAGATGTTCAGACTAGTTTCGCTGAATATTACATACATCAATCATCTGATATAGTTAGAGCTACTACCTAAAAGGCAAGGTTTATTGTTATATAACTAGTGGCCATCTGAACAATAACTGTGTGGAGGAGAAATCTGAAATATATTTGCAAGATTTTGTCGCTTTGCAATTCAGTGTCAGGAAACTGAGACATAAGCCGAAGAAAAACAAGGCTGGAATAATTTTTTATGTTACGTTTCCACAACATTAATGCTGCGTAATAGGTACATTGATTGTGTGCAAGAACTGTAAAATGTCCTTTGTCTGAAATATTTTTTCGGTTGAGTTTTATTCCAAGTGATTCAAGTCAGTGGTATTCGATGCAGTGAAGCAGGACAAATGTTTCCTGGAGACTACTTAAAACATTCAGAATCTCACAGCATGGCCACACTATGACCCGTGCTTGTGCCGAGATGCAGAGTTCAGACCAGGTCCAGAAAAGATTGGAAATGGCCGTAGCTCACTCTATGCATACTAATGCACGCAGACAGTATGTTGCCAGGTGCTCAATTTTTTGTTGCTCCACTTGCTTCATCTTACACTGGCCTGGCCGAACAGTCATTTTCTTTCACAATGCAGCTATAAAATGCCGTAAAAAGGAGTAAAAGAAGCAGGCAGAGGGTCAATCCTGAAAGTTCTGCTGAAATTTCTGTGAACAGGACATTTTTACCAGGAATTGTAGTGTGGAGCAGAAAACCACCAAATCTGACAACTACACCCCAGCTCAAATCTGTACAAACCCTTCCGTTGCTTCCTTTCTTGCTCACTCTTGCTGTAACTGCTACAACATATCAGGAATTGAAAATGTGCTCAAATCACAACAGGGGATCACTAACTTTACACTGAGCCACTGTGGTTTTAACACCAGCACCGAAAACAAGAGGAATGAGAAGTCAGGAGTGAGAATATTTCCAAACTAAACAAACACATAGATTCAAGCATACACTCGCACACATATAGAGCGCTATTAATTATTAACATTTTCTGCCACAAGTTGTTTATTTTGAAGGCTGGCCTGTGTGAGAAATTTGAAACACCGCATCAGATTTTTCTTTTTCCCCATTCACTTCATTCTTTCGCCCTCTGCCTTTTAGATCTGCCTTCAAATGCCTGGTCAAATACAGTATGTACTGCACTGCTGCAGAGGTCTGCAATGGTGAATACTTGCATCAAACAAATCTTTCAGCTAATAAAGTTAACATATATACAAGTAACCTCTGTGACCCCAAAGCCTACCCTTCAGAATTCTCAAAATGCTCAGTTTAAGAAAGTTTTTTCTTTTCCGCTTCTAATGTCGGTATGATATGATTATAACAGTCATGTCAAATGCACTGCTCTCACCGTCAATGCATACAGACCTATTTTTCTTGTTTTCTTCAGCAGCCATTTAGAAGAAAGCTGGCTCAAAGGGAAGGGCAGAGGGGCAGTAATGGCTTTTATCAGTAACGCAGGCTCAGAGACTTTACAAAGGTCTTGTGCGAAATAAATTATTTGAACTGTGAATCGTGTAAAACGACTCCAATGGACCCTAAGAATAAAAAACATGGACCTGGAAATGGGCATAATAGGTCCTATTCAAGTATAAATAGCACATATATGTTCGCTTCAAAAACTAAGCCATTGTGCTCGGCTGGCTGGGGTGATATTACTGTTATGTCTTCCATATTACATTATATACTTACTTGCCCTCATCTCTTCAAATGTAGAGTATGACGAACATTTGGTTTCTTGAAAAGCTTTCAAGGCTGAGTCGGCTGCCTTTGGTGATGTCTTGCTTGAATTTAATGTGCACTAGTTGTCAGTCATCACTCTATCCCATTTCTTACCAACTGCAGAAGCAAATAGTTCGTACACTTGTATGGGCACATATTGTGTAAACACCGTCTAATGGCTTTCAGTCTGCAAATTCCAGGCAGCCTGCTTGATGTTTGTATGCTCAAACTGCCTCCTAGGAGGAAACTGCTGCCAGTCCCAGGAACACTGCAATTCAAATGTGGTTCACAAGCGAATGAGCCAATAAGCTGAACCAAGCGAGCCAACGCATAACCGATGCAGCAGTGTTGCATCTTTCTCTTCACCCACCCCTCCTGCTCCACCATCGGAATACGAGAAAGAGTGAGACAGTCACTGAGAAAGAGGGAGAGACAGAGACAGGTTTCCCTACTCTCCCTACTCTCCCTACTCTCCCTACCTAACCCCACCCCCAACCCCCACCAACCTCACCCCTCCCAATTCATTTGAGAGAGAAGAGAGAGGATGTGACAGCCAACACAGGCTCTCGTCAACCTTACCTCAAACATTCCTGTGTTCGTGGTTCAGGCAGGAGAGGAGGTGACAGGAGGCACATGGATAAAAGCGCCGCACACACACACAAGCGCACACACACAAGCGCACACGCACGTACACAGTGCACATGCGTGCGCACACAGACACGAACACATGCACAGTACTTGCCCACAGATCTCTAATCTTCTCCTCAAATCATCTCCTATCAGCCACAGCAGCCTTCACTGCAAATTGTTCCTGCGTGTGTGTGTGTGTCTATGTGATCAACCAGTGGTGTGACTCAGCTCCCCAAACAGCGATGGTGGCTCAACTTCTCCCCTTTTACACACACCTCATCCACTTTGTGTCTTTTGTAATGGATAAGGCAGATAATCTGAAAAATGTTTTGGTCTATAGAAGTGATTATGACTTCGGTGGACTGTCTGATCATTCATGAGCAGTGGATACTTATACTGTAAAATATCCTTACCAGGACAGCAGCAAAGCTGACCTTGTGCTGCATTGTGAATGTGCTACCACAGAGCAGACTGCGCATATTGTCCAGTGTCTATATAACACTATGTCCAGCATTAAGACAAATGCTTCCCTTTTATTTAATGAACCTTATTATTGAATTAGATGTAAAATAGTGCTGTTATAATAATAATGCACAATAAAACAAAGCAAATCATTTTATCCTGTGAGTGTATCTAGCAGGGAATAGCTGCCCATTCCTACATAAGATACTAATACCGTCAATGCCAAATAAAAGGAAACAATCTTCTTTTTCTGAGTGAGCAGAGAATCAGCTTTTGCTCTAATGGAGAAGAACATTTAACAAACTTGCATGAGGTGTAACATTTTCCACAGTACACTCTGTTCTGAATTAGAAGCTCTTTTGAAATATTTACCATCACATGTAGGTAAGGGGTGGCTCCACCAGTGGTTCTTCTCGCACACTAGCGGCTCCTCATGACTGAGTCTATAACCAGAGTCACAACCAAACGACACCGTGGAGCCGATGGAAAAATCCTGTCCGTACCGAATACCGTTGACAGGGATGCCGGGGTCCAGACACGAGTAGCTGTCCACTGTGACGCCTGACAAAAAGAGTCACTTTGTTTGATTCAAAAATCATTTGAACATTACATGTTACATTAGATAAACAAAAATACAAAAATATGCAGTGCAAGGTAGACTGTTTGTTGTTTGATTATCATCATGGTAGTCCTGGTGACAGCCACTGAGGTGAGAACCACAACAGAAGTGGTTTTGTTTACCTTCTCAAGTGTTTACATGCCATCTGCTGTCAAATTGAACATGCACTTCAGAGAAAAATGAAGGTGGAGTTTGAAGATGCTGGCGGTCTACGCCATTAGTACTGAGTAAATGGAAGAAAAACAAGGGGGTGGATGGGTGGGTGGTTTGGGGTCTTCTTGCTTTTAACTCAGAGTTTAAAGTATATCTATCTTCTGTACAAATAATTAATGCTTTCATGTTTTGTTGAAAAATTCAGTTCAGGTGCCTGGGCACCTTACTTTGGAGATTTTCTGGTCACACCCAACTGGGAGGAGACCCTGGGGTAGACTCTGAACCCAGTGGAGAGACTGCACATATCTCATCTGGCCTGGGAACACTTTGGAGTCCTCCAGGAGGAACTGGGGGAGCCTGTGGCTTGAATACCCTGCTCATGCCAGTGCCAGCAACACCCAAATTCAATTTCTTTGTGGTCTAACCTAGTGTGAATGTGGTCAGAAGCATACTTTTAAGAATTTGTCTAAAAATACACAATATAAAATATATTTAACAAAGTATCTTCATATGAATAGATCAGTTTTAAATGCACGTGTATTTTTCATTTTTTTGTGTAAAATTTGCAGCTATAAACGCATATGCACATGTGCACATACTATATGTGCATAGATATATAGTGTATGCATCTAACTTACTTTCATAGAGTATTCTGAAGCCAGCATTTGACCGGCTGTTATCAGTGGTAAACAGCAGATAAAGAAAGTTGCTGCTGCTGAAAAGGAACTGGGGGACTTGGGTGCCATTGAAGGAGCCAACCAGAGGAGACAGGAGGTTTGGACCATCATGGATCTCCAAGAAGTCATAACCCAGTTCTGTCTGGAACCTGTGAAGATAAAATGTCAGGACATTATATTATAGCTGATTGTGATTTAAAAACACTGATGAGATAATGAAAAGTTCTTTAAAGGTTTCACATCATTTACAGGTTTTGGAGCCAATTTTTTCACCATAAATACACTTTACGATTAGTAAACAACAATCTATGTCTCGGCTCTACCAGCAGTTCACAGCCCAGAGAACACATCATTTGAACAAAAATATTGCCTGCCTTCCTAGTCAAAAGACAGCTTTGTCAAAAATTTACAGCCTAGAGAATTATGAGTCATGTGATATTGTAGGCGAATGTCCATAAACTTTAAATCTTGTAAATCTTCATTCTTGCTTGTTCAAAGCTCTTTCTAATATTCAGAATCAAAGAGTTACTGTATGCCACCCACCTGTCAAATGTGATTTTGATGGCACGTCCAGGTTCTGCTTCAATCACCCACTCACAGTTAAGGGAGTCTTTGTAATAACCAGGCCACCCAGGAGATAATATCACTCCACTTGGAGCCGAATAGTGGCCTCCACATGGGGCTGTGAGGGGAGAATAAAGAGGCAAGTGAGAGAAGAAGTACAGGACACCCAATGTGTCCAAGTACAAATTAATGTATAACAAAAGAAATTACAATACTGTGCAAAAGATTTGAGTCGCTGCTCACTTGCAGTAATACACTGAAACATGTAAATGATGGAAGTCCAGTGTATAAGGCAAAAACAGAGTGTGTACAATTCTAATAAAGTAGAAAGTCAATATTTGATCATCTTCATTCATCAGCACAACCTGAACTGACTTTGTAAGAAATTACAATAAAGCTTGACTGTGGTCATTTAGAAGTAGACATTCAACCCCACACTGCTTGAATAATGTTGAGGTCCAGGCTCTGGGGAGACCAATACATGACTGATACTAAAATGCAGCCCTAAACCACGACAGAGCCTCCACTGTGGGTGTGACACTTTCATCTGACCTCCTCTGGATATATTGATGCGTCATTCAAGTCCTGTTTCAGGTCTTTATTGGATTTTATTTCATATTTCTTCAGGACATGACTTTAAATCACCTAATGTAGATCATTTTTAGTCACTTCAGTTTTTGTCCTCCACTTGTCCAGTTTCCTCAGTTTTTTTAAGGGCAGACTGTACACCATGCTATGCCAAGTTTTTAGCTAATAGTGCTTTTTGAATCATCTCGCTGATGTCAAAATGCTATTTTGTGCTGGTCAGTTGTGTTGTCTTTTGTTGGGTTTTTTTGGGGGTTTTTTAAGATTCAATTAATAAATGATGGGTGAGTGTTGCACAGTACTGTATATTTAGTCAAGTGTAGCAAATCAGGCCCACCTGCTACTAATAAGTAGGTATTTTTATATTTATATTTACATTTTTATCGTTTTCTTTTTTACATTGGAGTTGTGCAAAAGCATAACTTCAATTTTACTATTTATTTTGAAGACAGTGGACTTCTGTGGACTTCATAATCTTGGGTCAAAAGGAAACACGATTTCCACACTTCTTTTTTCTTTGAGCTGCAAAAAAGTTATATTATGTTCACCAGCTGGACACTAACACTGTTGGCTTTTGGCTGACAGCAAGCTGAAAAATGAAAAATCTGCTAAAATATTTATTGAAAATGAGGGAAAGGGAAGAGAACAGTTTTATGCATATAAGTTAAATTGTCAGTGCGATTAACATTTTCCACACTAGACGCGGGTATTTGATGCTTTGGCCAAATAGCATATACATAGCATACTGTAGGTTTAATTACCATTTAAATACTCCAAAAAACATGCAACAGATTCAGATTCTTGCCCTTGACAGAGATTCTGATGAAGCAACCCACAGCTTTGAATATTTAATAAAAATAAAGATAAATTGTGTGCTCAGAAATATGTCTACAGTACATGATGCAAGGCTAACATAAATTATTCATATTATGTAAATATACACGAACACTTAAAAGGAACATGAACAATCACTCAACAGTTATTACAATGTAGTATTAGCCTAGAGCCATTCTGCTGCACTCTTTTTTTCCAAGTTTATTTAAACTTTAACTAAGCGTCTCAAGTCAATTTGTTCTAGTCTGTACCTCCTGAATACAAGTAAGTGGATTTTCTATCCAAGTGGTTATAGACACACATTAGATACAATGGATCTTGGGACTTTAAATGACCTGGAGCATAATTAACACAACCCTTCTTTGTACTATCAAAGGCTCTGTCACCAATAGCTGTGTTGAAAATATCTTGAGCTAATTATATTTACCACTGGAGCAATCTCAAAAGCACTTGTGCTCTAGCGAACATCTCTTCATTCTGTTTGAGAATCGCAGGTCAAATTCGCATTTTACTTTTCTGTACTCAACAACTTTTACAGAAGCTGTTGATTACACTCTGAACTTATGCGACTTTACTTTAAGGTAATAATATAAATAACTTCAGGCAAAGTGCTGCGCCGCGACTTTACTTGACATTTAAAGAAGTCACAGTTCTGTTTAACACATTCACATAGTGTCCAGTGTCTTTACTTTCACTTTTAGTTGCCGGTCATCTCTGCTGCACTCCTTCCACACAGAGAGAATTTTAAATTGCCAAGTACTTCTACAGACAGAATGTTGGTAAGCTATTAGCTATTTGTGTGGCAGCAGTTTATTAACAGTTATTTCCCTGGGTGTTTAGGTTAACTGGCCACCTCCATATTTTTCCTTCTGTTGAACTGACAGGATATAATTTCTGCCTCCACAGAGTTTTAACAGCATTAATGATGAGATCTTGGATAGCATATTGTTCCCTAGTTAATAGTTTAAGCAGCAATCCAGCCAATATTTACCTTCACATTTAGGAATAGGCCCACTCCACATGACTTTTCCTCTTTCTAACTGACAGGAGATGGTCTCAGTTCCTTGGGTTTTGATAAAACCGTCCTCACAAACCACAGAGATGGAGCTGCCAAGCTGGAAGCTATCTCCAAAGCGGCGAGCGTTGATGGGAATGCCAGGGTCTGGGCACTCATTATGGCCAAATGCTGTGGTAAAAAAGTTACAAGGAGACACAGATATGATGAGGGAGATATTGGAGACTAGCGCTTCACATAGAGAGACAGACACACACACGAGAAATGTTATTAAAGAATATGAGACCTATACTTTACAGCCATTCACAGGCTATTTTGCTCATCATTTTGATGAAATATTTCAGAAGTGATGATACAGATCTATATGCTGCTACTTGAAGTCTTCTGCTGTTCGGTCCTTGCCAGCATAATATCTAAAAGTTCTCTTGTCTGTTTTATGCTCCCGTCATGTTTTTTGCACATATGATCATTGCTCATAATACAGTATGTTTGCTTGATGCTTGATGCCTATGAATGCTCATGTTTTGCCAGTTGAAGCAGCTTGGTGTTTTTAGTTGATAAAGAATTAGAGATGCAGTCATAGAAAAAAAAATAAAGTCATATACACAAAATGATGTGAGATGATATCGCAAATAGAGTGTGAGAAAACTCGTGGACAGAACACTTTGGCAGATATGTTTGCCGTCAAACCCAGCCTGATGCAAAGATCAATATCAATTTCCATTTCTGTTGCCTGGGATCCAGACGTGTTTTGCCTAAATTAGCTCAAAGACTGCAAGCGGGGGCAAGATCTTTTTTGGTGTACATGCTGTATCCTGATGTCTTATAAGCTAGTCAACAACGCATCACATAGATTTTGATCAGCTCCAAAGATTTGCACAGATGACAACAATGTAAGGGAGACGGAGCTTCTAACTGCGGGTAAAATTCTAATGTCTATTCTAATGCAGGTTAAAGAGTCATGATATGATGTTTAAAAAAAGACCATTTATGAATTTTTGGAGGATTTATTTTTTTTCACTTTTGACGGAAATAGGCTGACTGTTTCCTCTTGTTTCAAGTCTTTCAAGCCTAAATACATCCTGGACCTCTCTATGTACTAGATGCACAGAGATGAAAATGGTATCCATCTTGTCATCTGAGTCTACGTTTGACAACAAACAAGCAAAAAATTGCCCAAAAACGTTCCTTTAAAGCTTCTCTTGCCTTTGCTACTACTTTGTTCTGCAACCTACACCTCTATTCTTAGCTGCTATAATAATCACAGGACCTCTCTTCTATAACCCGTTGTCTTCAGCACTACTGAAACTTCTAGTTGGGAGTGAATTAAAAGAGCTTTATCTAAATCAAACTGAAATATTTACTACATGGTTTTCAACATCTTGGTTAGAAGTTATGCCAAGATTTACATGGAGCTCTTTGCAGATGTCTTGAGCCACCCCTCATTTACGTTGCTAGGAAAATAGGGAATATGTACAGCGATTTACTGAAAAGTGCAAACATACATCCAAATGAAGCATATAAAGCAAAACCACACTTGTTTGTACAATCCTAATGGGCCTGGAAGTCAAAATTTGGTATGGTCACCAACACAAGTAAGCAAACTAGTTTTCTAGGCTTCTTGAAGGACATTTAAGGCTCTTCTTTGGATGTTGGCTGCTTTTTGTTCTGTTCTCTGTCAAGATGATGCCACAATGCTTCAACAATTTTTAGGTCAGGTCTCTGGGGAGGCTGATCCATGACTGATAGAGTTCCACTGTCTCTTTTTTCCAGGTATTATTTTACTGCATTGGGATTGTATTTGGGACCACTGTCATGGTGAAAAATGAAGCTGTTACAGGTGTTCAGATCATTTCCAGATGGTACTGAATGGTGATGGTGCTTTTCTGCATTCATAATACCAATAATTTTGATAAGATCCCCAACATCACTGGATGAAATGAAGCCCCAAACCATGAGGTTTGCGTTACGTCGGTTCATCATTTGAGTTAGTGCTTTTTTATGCTTGAATTATTTATCGGTCAGTCTCGAGTAACTTTCCTCTGATAATGGCCAAGTACAAGGATAGGAGTGAAAATGAATGAAAGAAACACAGCCTATTGTCCAAAGGAAAACCTTGAAAGACCTTCAGAAAGCCTGGAGAACTAATGCTCAAGATCACTTTAAAGATCACTTTACAAGAAAGTCTGACTCCTTGGAAGTAAAATATAATGAATTGCTTCAAAATTAACAGTGCCTTTATTCCTGTGTTTCTGGAGTTTGACCTTCTCAAATGAAAAAAAATATGACTATAAATTAAATTTCAGATTTCAAGCTTAACTTGGATTTCGTTCATGAAAAGCATTTTATGATAATTCTATTTTTAGCAGAGAAAACAAAGTTGCTCATTTGCCTAGATTTAGGCCAAAGAAAGAGGATGGAATACATACTACTGTATGTGATATTAAATCCTCTTCCTGACATAGAGTGATCAGCCTGAAACTCCAGCCTCAGTGTGTTGGTATTAGACGTCAGATGGGAGGGACTCTCAGCTCCAGAGAACCTCCCAATGACCGTGGCATCATTTGTCTCGCCATCTTTCACTGTTAGGGAATCATAAGGTGCCTCAAGGTCAAAGTCATTAAATGCCAAGTGTATTCTGGAGCCCGGATCTGATTGGATGAGCCAAACACAGTTCATGTTGTTCCCATAGCCTTCTGGGTAATCCGGTGAGAGGACGGTTCCTGAGGGAGCAGTGAAGTTGGACATGCAGGGGACTGTGGGAGGAAGAGAATTACAAAATCACAGACAGTAACAGACAGAGAGACAGACAATTTTCAGAAAGCATATGAGGGAGAGGAAAGGCATACAGGGAGAGAAATTTTCTGTTAAATATTCATCTCCACAGCGTCATCGGTCATCATGCGCCCCAGGCCATAATAAACTCTGTACTGTCGCCTCAGTGACAGGTCACAATGAAATTTATCAACATCACAGCAGTGCACATGCCACATTTTTTTAGTTCAATCCAATGCTGTCATATACCTGAAAACCAATTACAAATAATTCTAACACTTACATATGCATATAGGGATATTTGCAGACCACTGATTGTTGTCTTGGCAGGAGATCGTTTTTTCTCCAATCAGCTCAAACCCAAACTGGCATTCAAATCTCAGGATTCCTCCATTTGAAAAGTTGTCACCTTCTCTTATTCCATAGAGAGGAGTTCCAGGGTCTCCACAACTCTCTTTGTCTATTTCTGGAATGACACAGATTCAAAAGAAGACATGAACAGCAGCATGGTCCCCAAAGACGGCTATAAACAGTCCATGTTGACAGGAATCCTAACCTAAACCGTTAAGATCATATGCTATACACTTCAGTCACTGTGAAAAAACAACCCATAAAAAGATAACATGAAAAATGGCAAAAAAATCCAGCTGCCAAGTAGATGAAACATAAAGTAATTTGATCATTCAGCATGAAAAGAAGAAAAAGAGTAGCACATACCAAAGGAAAACTGAAGAAAGAGCTGGGACTGACATAAAGTGCTCACTACATACAGCCCAGCAATAGAAAACAACTTTACTGAGACAATTTGTGAGTACTGCAGTCACAGAGGTTGCCAAACTTGGTCAAAGTGTTGGGAAAATTTTGTGAAACTAGCTACTTGTTTACAATCATTACTTGATTCTTATTTGCATTATTTACATATCACTTTTGTAATACTTCTATCATCATTTGTTTTTTACAAGATCTTGCCTGTAACCCATGACGGTACAATCTGACAGCAGTAGAGCAGCGGTCCCCAACCTCTGGGCCACGGACCAGTACTGATCCGTGAGTCGTTTGGTACTGGGCTGTGAGAGGTGAGGCTTGGGCGTGAAACTTATGGTTTTTGGGGGTTTTATTGTTATTTTTAAATCGTTTTTATTGTTAACTCAGTTTCCCTGGGTCTTTTCCCATGTGCTATGAATAAATCATCTTTTTTTGGCACCGGTATTGGTTTTATTTTGTTGTATTTATCCGCGACACCTTAAAGGCCGGTCCGTGAAAATATTGTCGGACATAAACCGGTCCGTGGCACAAAAAAGGTTAGGGACCGCGGCAGTAGAGGACACCTTGGGTCACGTGGACGGTACTTTTGAAGTAGTTTTTGGTGTTATGAAGGAACTCAAGGGTGACAAGACACTGTAAACTTTAGACCTTATATCTGCAACTCAGCTTTACACCTGTTACTTCAGTTTTGTCACTTAAGCTAAATTATAAATTAACTGTTTTTGACAGCCAGCACACCGAGTGTTTCTTCCCAGAGTCTGGCCTTAACAACATTTGTGCAACCATGCAGTGCTATCAGTCTCAAATCCTCCGTGGTTATCTTACTGTGTTGTGCAACACTATGTCATGCTACAAGAGCTCATCATCCATTTTGAACAGAAACACACTGCCAACTGAATCTAGTCTTACTCGAAGGTGATTGGCTCTTGTTTCGCTGAGTCAGGCGAATTTCTGAAATGCATCTGCTTCTCAGTTCATGTAGCCTGGAGCAGATTTTGTATCCCTCTCTTTCTGTTTCCTCCTTCCCCTGAGTTTGCAAGTATTCATGACACATCTTTTTTTTAACATTGACTCTGACCATAAGGTTGGACAGATCCTTTTTCTGATTCTACATAAAGGCTCCACTGTGTCACCATAACTCTTTATAATATGTTGTATACGGGATATCAGGAAACATACTTTCTATTTTCCCAGCCTTCCTCTCCTTTAATCCCCTGCTCTGCTTTCCTGTTTTCAGCATTATTTACAGGAGTGGCCCATGGCACGAAGCAAAGGTGTGTGTGTCTTTTTGAGTGTGTGCGCGTTTCTGTGTGTTTCACTGTTGCTGCGAATGTGTGTCTCGGTGTGCGTGCTTGTGATGTATTGCATTAATTTCCATCATGACATCGTCTTTATGAGACCCACAGACTCAACCAATCACAGCCTGCCTAACACACTTGCTTGCACGTGAACACACACACACACACACACACACACAGATGCAAAGACACCTAGCGAAGGAATTGAGAACAAATTACTTTGGAGAGAAAGCGGCACGCTGTC